GCACTACCAGGACAGGCCGCCGCCCCGAGGCCCAGCAGCAGCCGCCGCCCGCCCGCGTGCCTCCTTACCCCGTCCTGGCCGCCGGCGCAGGGAAAGCCGCTCGTCCTCGCCTCGCCGCGGCGGGTGATGAAGAAGGCGGCTCCCGCCGGTGCCAGCTCCTCCCCCGCCGCCGGCGGCTGCTGCTGTTGAAACCCGCCGCGAAGTTTCATCATGCGCCTCCCCGGGGGTCGGGCCGCGGCCTGGCCTGGCTTGGTCGTGAGGGGCGTCGGGCCCGGTGGGCCCCGCGGCCTTTCCCTGAGGGGGACCCTTCTCAGGCCAAGAAGTGCGGGGTCTGCCGCCTCCCCGGGCTCGGGTGGGCAACCTGCAGCCATCAGAAACCCTGGCATTTTGCCTGTTGTCACCTAAAGAGCTCAGATACCCATGTTGTGGGTGAAGACTGAGGGGGGATCTGATCAACCCCTATAAATGCTTAAAGGGTGGGTGTCAGGAGGATGGGGCTAGGCTTTTCTCAGTGGTGCCCAGGGACAAGAGAAGAGGAAATGGGCACAAACTGGAACATGAGAAGTTCCATCTCAACATGAAGAGGAACTTCTTTGCTGTGAGGGTGGCAGAGCCCTGGCAGAGGCTGCCCAGAGAGGTGGTGGAGTCTCCTTCTCTGGAGACATTCAAACCCCCCTGGACACGTTCCTGTGGGACCTGCTCTGGGTGACCCTGCTCTGGCAGGGGGTTGGACTAGATGATCTTCAGAGGACCTTTCCAACCCCATGTGATTCTGTGAATCGTGGTTGCCCTCAAGCAGCTTTATGTGGTTCGGAAGGGAGCGCTTGCACCTTTGGAAGCGTTTACTGAGGACTCGGCTGCACAAAACTCAGTTCTGAATAATAGATGGTACGGGTGGAAAGGGATTTTGATGCCTGCCCGGACTTCACCATTGGACAGTTCTGCCTTTGAGAGCCCTAAAGTAAATGAAATTGAGTTCTGAAGACTTAGATGCGAAGTGCTAAATATAAACCTTCATTCTCCACACATACTTCAAGAGAGCCATTAGTAGTAATTTGCATGCAATGCACTTTCTCAGCCAGCTTCAGTGGGCTTGGTGTAAAACCGCTGTGCTGTGCATAAAGTTCTTCAGGTTGTGCAGACCGTCAGCAGTAAGTGTGGTCTGTGTGAAGAATTTTAAAATGGCCTTTAAGAAGCCGCTAAAAGGATATTTTAGCTCAGGCCCAGTACTTTCCATCTGGCCTTGACAACATCCTGAATTGCAACAGCAATGCTTTTTTTTTTCTCCTTCTCCAGTCCTAACTTGTGTCATAACAGAGTCCTGGGAATAGGCAGCTTCAAGTTTCCAGATGCTTCAAACTATCCTTTTCTCAGCTCTCGGTGTCCAAATGTTCACAGTGTGAGCTGGGCACAGATCACCAAAAAGCCTGTATTTTCCAGCTTGATTTTTTTTTTAATTTGATGTATTTGCTACACAAAATGTCACCACCCGTCTTCACAGGCCCAGCTGAATGGGATGTGCTGTTATTGATTTGTTTGTGTTTGTCAGCATCTACAAATGACTTTGGTGTTGAAGCCTGTGTAGCATCCTTCACGCGTTTACATCTTCTGTTCCTGAATGCACCCTAATAATAATTTAATGCCGTTCTTGGGGCTGGGAGGTAGGGGACAGCTTCATTTCTGCCAGGAAAGAGTGACTTCAGACAGACATTGCTCCATGATTCAGCATTGTAGCAATAACAGAAAATCAATTGGCAAATGTTCTTTCTGGCAGCAGCCTGGTAGATTTTCTGGGACAGGGGCTAAGCCTGGAAGCAGAAGATTGTTTCTCCTAATGGAGCCCCACAGCAACATCCTCGTACCATGGTGGCACTGGCAGCCCATTATACACTGGGAGAGATGGATGGTGGGCAGGACTTGGGGGAAGGTGGGGATCAGTTCCTCCTCCCCAGTCGCATGGGTTGACAATAAATAACCCATCTCCTACCCTGGCTATCTTTATAAAAATAAAGGCATGTTGGATACCTGTACATTTACCAGGCAACTGCTGCAGTGCCAGGCATTCTGGTACCACGTCTGGCATCTGAAACGTGGAGTTCCATCTCAGGGATACGCATACGCAGAGAGCAAAGGCCTTTTCTTATTTTGGTTTTCCTTCCCCAGGAGAACAGTAACACGATGTGCTCTTAAAGTTTGTGTGCTTGCACTCGAAGTCTCAGGCAGATCCATGCTTTAATCCCCGTATCTGAGTGGGGAAACAAAAGCGAGAAGAGAAACTGTCAAATTCAAAAGCTGTTTGGAGATCTGTAGCTTGAGGTGCAGGAGGCTCATGTTTTTGTCTCCCACTCTGCCTTTTGCCCACTGGGACCACACCACATGCCAGAGAGCCCCGAGCTTTTAAAGAATTTACCGAGCTAACAGAGCTGTTTGTTCCTATAATTTTGAGTATGTTTATTTTTCCTTTTTTTCCTCTCTGTTCTTTTCCTTTTGGAAGACATTTAAAGGACACGCGGACTCCTCATCTCTCCTCCAGACAAAATCCTCTCTCTCATGGTATGAAAAGTAGTTGGCTCTCCCCCTGGGAGTTCCTATTGCTTATAGTCTCTCTTACTTAATCCTTTTTTCTTTTCTTTCTGCTTCATTATGTTAAGCTTCAAAACAAATAAGACTCCCTCTGACCTCAGAGTTAGAGGTCACAGTGCTAAAAGAAAATCTTTTCTAGAGCCCGGGCATTGAGAACTTCAGTAGAGCAGGAGGAAGGCACGTCTAGCACAACAGCAAGGGAGAACAAGGAGTAAGGTGATTTGTTATTCCCCGCACAGAAGGCTGCTGCATCCTATTTTTTTTTTTCTTTTTTTAACTTTAAACCATCCCAGCCCTTCCATCATCCCCCGTGTTTGTTAGCCCAGAGGAGAAAGGGGTGTTGAAAGAGCTGTTGGCCGCCCGGTGCACATGGCAGGCCCGGCATATGGCACACCAATGGCTCTATTGTCACTGGGCCCAAGGCCACCGAGGAATGAAACATTGCTGACTTCTAACTGAATAGTGGTCTTGGCTAATGAGAAGGAATCCAGGGTAATTTATTCCCTCCTCCTGGGGAGATGGGGCGGGAAACAAACCGCAAAACCCAAAGAACTATTACATACGCTTTTTTAACCATTTGCAGAAAGAAAAACTAGTCAGTCTGATATTGGTTCTATAACATAAAGCGGAATAATTCTCTAGAGTGTTTTTTGAGCCATAATGGTAGAAATAATTTAAATTCTGGTTCTTTTCCAAACAGTAAGAAAGATTAGGTGTCAGCTGAATTAGCATTTAAACTAACCGTTGCAGTCAATATAGCAGGATTAACTGCAAATTACAATCTCCAGTTCACTTTTTCATTGTAATTCGTCCATTGTGAGATTTTACCCAGTTCATTAGGTGTTTTGTTTAACACAAACAAGATCCTTTTCATCTAGAATACAGCTAAATTCAGCTGTAAGAGACATGGTTGGCTGGTATAAAGCTCCAACAGCTAAATCCATGCTTGAATATATGTAACAAACTTAAAATACATTGGAATGTATTTTTCAGCTGGAATAACTGGACATAATTCTAAGAAAGTTATTTTGACACATACCAGTTGTGCTGCTTTAGTGTTTTAAAGCACTGTCTTTAATTTAGTGATGTGTCTGGAAGACATCAAAAGTGGCCAGTTAAATGTGCTTAAAAACATATATATGTCTCCTAAATGCAATTAAGAACAAGAGGAAGAAGAATAACAATTACGGAACACTGCAAGAGGATCTATTTATTTTTTTTTAAAGGAAGTTAGAAGGTCTTTGGTTTATAAAAGACTGAGAAACTATTCTAAAACGTATCACTGCATCTGCTCTTTCCCATCACTAGGTCGAGCTATTACCTCAGAATGAGAAACCCTCACCCTGCCAGCCCTGATGTTATCAGAAACAGAGGTGTAGAACAAATAGAACAAAGGTCTGCAATGAAATAACTAGACTGGAAAATGTAACACTTTGCAGCGTGGAAAATAAACAAATGTGCTATCACATCCCCTAAGTCAATTATTTGCTTTAAAAGAAAAAAATGTGATAGCGAAACTAATTTTTTCCCATTTTCTCACAGAAGTACACACTGAAATACAGCTGACTTCACAGGATGTATTGACTTCTTTCTAATTCTGTTAAATCCAGTAGCACTCAACCCTTCAAATGATCGCCTTGTTTCATTATCATAGATACTTACTCTGCTTTTTTCCTAGGAATTAATTCTGAATTCTGTACAGAGGTAAACTGTTGTTGGTACTGCCATGATATATAAACAGTAAAATGGAATGCCTTTCCTCCCTGTTCTTCCCTAGTTAGGAGATCGAACAACAGACCTTGTAAAAATAGCCTTTTGCCTTTACGTATAAAGAGAAGAAAGAGAATTCTAATTAGAAAAAGAGGAGAAAACCTAAAGAGAAGAAAAACAATTCTAAAGGAACTCTCTTTATGTATAAAGAGAAGAAAGAGAATCCTAATTAGAAAAAGAGAAGAAAAACAATTCTAAAGGAACTCAAAATGCAGTGTCAATTCAAAAGGATTAGAAGAATTAAACTATTAATGATTGCAAAGTAGAAAAAGAGTTCTGCATTCTAATTCATTCTGAACAATACCTCATCTCTTGTCACAGATGGAGAATTAAACTATTAATGGTTGCAAAGTAGAAGAAGAGTTAGTTCTGCATTCTAATTCATACTGAACAATACCTCATCTCTTGTCACAGATGCCAGATAATAATCATAGAATTTTCTAATTTGGAAGGGACCTTTCAGCTCATCGAGTCCAACCATTAACCCAGCACTGCCCAACCCACCACTGCCCCATGTCCCTCAGCACCAACTCTGCCCGGCTTTTAAATACCTCCAGGGATGGTGACTCAACTGCCTCCCTGGGCATATTTAACAGGATAATTTCCAATGTTAATTCCAATATTTTTATTAAGCTTTTTTGGTGTTTTTTTTTTTTAGCTGACAACAATCCCCTGAACCTCTTTGCTTTTGCCAGGAACAGGTACGAGACAGGCAAACAAAAGCATTAATCCACAAGTGTTGGCTGCACCTCAAACTGTTCTGAAATGCATCTCTTTTATTTACTCCAGAATTTATTATTTTACTATTAATGTGGGCTTTGACAGAGAAAATATTTGCACGCTTGCCCTGTCTAACTTTTAAGGTGCACGTATATGGAAAATAAATGGAACTATCTATACAGAAATCTATCAGTAACATGAATAAGAGAGGTGCATTTTTCTTAAGTGCTTAAGTAGGTTTTGCCAGGCCATTTCTATAAATAAATCAGGGCCAGAAAGTACATTTAAGTACGGGAGAGGCTAATTATTAACAGACTCATCGTTGTGATTTATGTCCATGCCAAGTAGCATTCCTTGAGAAAAATCTCTGGGCACGGTTTACTGACTAACACTTGCCAAGAACTGATTCTAAAGAGCAGCATGGACACGGCTGAGGTTTCACCCTCTCCAGGGTAGAGTCCTCCAAGGGAATCCCAGCAGAATTCCTAACCCCTCAGTGCTGCCACCTGCCCTCCCACCGCATCCCACAGCCCTGAAAATCAGCATCATTTCCTCAGCTTCCCCAGAGGAAGATCTCGTTCTTTGCTATATACTGACATGAAGACCAAAGTGATTTATTTCCTTTTAAATTAAATGACTAAAAATTTAATTTCCCTCTCACAGAATCCCAGAATGCTATGGGGTTGGAAGGGACCTCTGGAGATCATCCAGTCCAACCCCCTGGCAGAGCAGGGTCACCCAGAGCAGGTCCCACAGGAACGTGCCCAGCGGGGTTTGAATGTCTCCAGAGAAGGAGACTCCACCACCTCTCTGGGCAGCCTCTTCCAGGGCTCTGCCACCCTCACAGCAAAGAAGTTCCTCCTCATGTTGAGATGGAACTTCCCATGTTCCAGTTTGTGCCCGTTCCCTCTTGTCCTGTCCCTGGGCACCACTGAAAAAAGCCTGGCCCCATCCTCCTGTCACCGACCCTTTCAGTATTTATAGGTGTTGATCAGATCCCCCCTCAGTCTGCTCTTCTCCAGACTAAAGAGACCCAAGTCCCTCATCCTTTCCTCGTAAGAGAGATGCTCCAGGCCCCTCATCATCTCTGTAGCCTCTGCTGTACCCTCTCCAGCAGCTCCCTGTTCTTTTTGAACCGGGGAGCCCAGAACTGGTCCCAGTGCTCCAGAAGTGGCCTCCCAGAGCAGAGGGGCAGGATGACCTCCCTTGACCTGCTGGTCACACTCTTCCTGATGCCCCCCAGGATGCCATTGGCCTTCTTGGCCACGAGGGCACATTGCTGGCTCATGGGTATCCTGTTGCCCACCAGGACTCCCAGGCCTTTTTCTCTGTAATTTGCCCCCATCCAGACACACCAGAATGTAAGTGATGTGAGTCTCATTACTGTGATACCTGCATGTCCCCTGGGCTTTCTCAGGAACACAGGAGTCTCCTATCGATGTGCCACATTGATATGGAGTGGGACAATGGAGAAGCAGATCTGCAGACCCTGCAAGCAACGAGAGAGCACTGAGCCTTCTCCCCCTTTCTGACCCTGAGCACCAGAACAGCTTTTTCCCTCTGCGTGGCCACCCAGAGGGAGTTTGTTATGCAAAGCAGCGCTGCACAGCAGAAGGGGTGGATGTGTGTTTGCTCCCATGGAGGGGCACCTTCCCTGACTCTGAACGGCCAGAGACTGCTCATCTATCCCCGAGTTTAAAAAAAAACAACCCACCACAACTGTTTGTATGCACGGTACATGAATGTCTCCATAAATTGTTAAACAGCCATTACAGCGTGGCCAAACCAGTCACATTTGTTAAAGCAAACTTTGTGTACACCAATAATTATAGACTTCTGTTAAATGACAGTACATTCCACCCTCTCTCTTTTGGAAATCTTCCTCTCAAACTAGCCTAACAAAGAGTGAAATGGCTCCATGACCACCCGGGTATGAAAAGGCACAGCACTTCATGCACGGACATACACGTATGTCACATACAGGGGCCACAGTCCTCGACAGCAGAACTGCCGTGCTGCTTTTGAGTTCCCCAAGCAACACCAAGTCTCACATTCAGCTCGATCATACTGCATATCTGCACTACGAGACATTTTGAAAACTTCAACTTAATCTATTTCAGAATTTTAAGGCATGCCCTGTACATGGGTGGACAGAACTATCAAAATCTGGGAAGGAAAGGAAATGAGAAAACAAGACAGCTCTATTTTTTCAGATGCTTTTGTGATTTCCATTGTCTTTGTTATTGTTTATAGCTGAATTTCTTCATGTCAAACCCCTACAACAAGCGTGCTCACCTCACTTCTACCCTTTCTTCTATGATTAAACTATCTCAAGGAGATACCATTCACGAAGTTGCTTGTAATATTTATTTTAGGGGGGCAGCAAACGGTGGGCTGGGGCAGGAATGAGAAGCTATGACCTGGAGCCGTGTGGGACATGGGAGCTTCTTAAAAAAGCCAGCATCTCCTGCGTGGCCAATCATCCAGAGAAAAAGAACTGAAAATAGAGGACGAAAGGGCACACTACCAAGGGATGAACTGTTTTGGAGAGAGGGAAGGCAGAAAGCAAACAATCTATAGCCACGAGGAGACAAAGCTGTGGCTTGGACTGAACCTCTGGAGAGGCTGGAGGAAGGAAGAAGAACCACAGGGAGGGAGATGTGGTGAGACTTCGAGAGCAGTGTGTGCAGTGACTGCCATTTGCAGAGACACTGGGGGCCCTCAGCATGAACCAGCTCCTGTTTGCATGTACCTGCACCCCAGTCCTTAAAAACATATAGGAAAAAAGAAGCCTGTATTAGCTACAGAGCTGCATTAACTACCCACTGTTTGCAAAGCACTATTCTTTGGTTACACTGTAATGGAAAACACCTTTAAAATATATAATCCCTCTTCATATTTAATAGGGTTGGGGTTTTTTTTCCCCCCCGAGGAAAGCTATGGAGAGAGCAGCGTGAGGGATGTTGAAAAGGTAGGCAGCATTAGCGGAGGGAGATAAGGAGTGATTTCCGAGGGTGCAGTTACCTAGCAACGTCCCTTCCAGTCGCCTAATGGTATTTTGGAAGTGCAGAGGCTCCAGACCGGCTGAGGGGAAGGGAACCAGGGGCTGGGAAGCGGTGGGGCCCGGTTCTACCACAGGGCACAGGCCACAGCAGGGAGACAACAACCAGGTAATTCCATGGCAGGGGGGGTGCGTGTTGGGGGGGGGGCTCTGTCCCCCCACACCTCATTAACGAACTTCAGGGCGCGCCGGGGGCGGCGATGCTCTTCCCTCACACTCTTCCCTTTCCTCCCTGTACCGTTTTTTCACCCCCTCACCCCTCAAGGCCCTGACCAGGCCGCCATCAAGGCCTCCAGGCGAGCTGCCCCCCCCCGCCGCCCCCGGCCCTCACGCCGCAGCTCTTGCCCGCGGCTTCACCCACCACCGACCTCCTCTCACGGCCGGGGCGGGCTCTACTCGCGGCCTGGCCCGACGACACGGCCGTACTCCCGGCGGATAGAACGGAGGGAGAGAGGGATCCCCGTCCCCAGACGCGGCTCCCCCCTCAGCACCTCCCGCCCCTTCCACCGGCGCTGCCACGCGGCGGGGCCCGCCCGGCGGGCAAGGGTTAAATGCGCCTGCCGGGACCGGCCACGCCCCTTCGGCGCTCTCCACCCAATGAGCAAGCGGCAGAGGCGGGGAAGGGGGCGTGGCCGGGGAAGCCCCACCCACCCCCGTCTCGCCGTCGGGGTGCGCAGCGCGCGGCGGCGGCGGGATGGTGCCGGTGGCGGCGCGTGGCGGCGGCGGCCTCCCCTCCCCTCCCTGCGCGCGGACAAGGGCGGCTCGCGGCCCGCGCGGCTGAGGAGGTGAGGGGGGAGCGCGCGGCGCTGAGGGGGAGGTGGCGGCGGCGGGGCCCGGGCCAGGCCGGGGCGGGCCCTCGGTGAGGGGAGGCCGGCAGGCAGGCCCCTGAAGGGCATCGCTCCGTCTGGGGAGGCGAGGTGAAGGCAGGTGCCTCCCTGCGGCGATGGGGAGGGAGGGAGGTGGCCGGGGCCGTGCGTGTCAGCCCGGCGGCGGAGAGAAAGGTGCCCGCAGGAGCCGCGGTTGGCGGGGACAGCAGGTGGCTGGGCTGTCAGGAGAGGCGCCGAAGGAAGGGGGAGTTGGGGGTGTCTCCTCGGGAGACGGAGAGTCCCTCGGAGCCGCAGCGGAGGGAGGAAGGTGCCTTTTGGGGAGGGAGAGGTGGGGGGAGTCTCTCGGTGCTCCCCAGCCGTCGCCTCCTGCTTCTCCTAACGGGGACTTCCTGGACTGACGTCGCTGCCATCTGTAGTAAGTTGGTAGAGGTCTAGGGAGCCTCTGCGTGCCCTGGACCTGGTGACTTGTTGCTGAGAGAGGGTGTCAGCGGCTGGAATGAGGAAGGAGGCCGCCAGGATCCTTCTCCAGTCTCAAATGGGTGCCCATGTTGTGTAGGTGCTGTTCCCGGCCACCTGTACGGCACACCGCGCTGCCGGCGGCTGGATTCTTTGGATAGAACAAGGTTCTAAACCAAGAGGTTTTGGTTTCTCCAAAGGAATGCTTGCAGCCTTAGATTTAAAAAAAAAATGCAGTGAATTTTTAAAAGGGAAAATTACAATCTGTGCTTAGTTGATAGGAAACCCCCCTGTACTCGGCACTGGTGAGGCCTCACCTTGAGTACTGTGTCCAGTTTTGGGCCCCCTACCATAAAAAAGACATTGAGGTGCTGGCGCGGGTCCAGAGAAGGGCGACAAAGCTGGTGAGGGGTCTGGAGAATAAGTCTTATGAGGAGAGGCTGAGGGAGCTGGGGTTATTCAGCCTGGAGAAGAGGAGGCTGAGGGGAGACCTTCTTGCTCTCTACAACTACCTGAAAGGAGGGTGTAGAGAGGTGGGGGTCAGTCTCTTTTCTCAAGTCACAGGCGACAGGACAAGAGGAAATGGCCTCAAGTTGCACCAGGGGAGGTTCAGGCTGGATATTAGGAAAAATGTTTTCACTGAAAGGGTTCTCAGGCATTGGAATGGGCTGCCCAGGGAGGTGGTTGAGGCACCATCCCTGGAGGTGTTCAAAAGACGGGTTGATGTAGTGCTGGGAGGTATGGTTTAGTGATGATGCTCCTTGTTTGTTGTGTGGGTGTCTATTTTTGTCAGTTAGGTTGACGGTTGGACAAGATGATCTTTAAGGTTCCTTCCAACCTAGAAGATTCTGTGATTCTGTGAAACTGCAGCAGTTTACAGTAATCCATGGTACAGGCAACATCAGCGAGTGTACAGCTGTTTTGAATATAGCTTCATTTCAGAAGCGTATGAATATGTGCATATAAAGCCTCTAGAAATAATGGGATTTAGGGAGCAGAAGGCCTTTACTGGGCATTGCACAGCTAGCTATGTTTTATACATTTTGACTTTAATTATTCTGATGTGTTGCTTGACTGTTAAGTATGTGGTAGCGGAGATCAATTTCGTTGCTAATTATGCAGCTCTCAAAGGACATTTACATTCTGTTTCACACTGGGGCCTCAGCGCATGAGTCCCTTACTCCTTCCTAAGTAAGGGATACCAGGGAGAGCCAGCTGTGTGGGTAGGCTAGCCATATTTCTCATAGTTAATTTATCAAATCTTAAAGTGATTCTGCAATGATATTGGGATTAAACAGGTACAAAAAATATCTAGAGTTCTGTCCTGTGTTCCATAAATTTCAAAATCCCAGGTTTGGGTTTGCTGGGTTTTTTTGTTGTTGAATGTCTTTCCTCTTGAAATAAGTTCAGAAAGTTATGTGGTCTGAGTTTGTTTAAAAGTATCAGTTTTAAAGGTGGTTGGGTTTGGTTTTTCTGAGGGGTAGAGGCAAGGTCCAGTATCGTATATTGTCTCTCAAAATATAAATTTGTAGCCAAATCTACAATGACTGTTGTGATATAATTTTAAAACATTTGTTGGTCTTGTTGATGTGAATTCGTGGATATCTAAATGGATCTATTTGTTTAAGCTGCCATGATAGAGCATTGGAGCATGATTTAAATTGTAGGTGATTTTTTTTTAAAGTAGTGTTTGGTTTTTAACTCAATAGACATAAAAATAGAAGTAAACCCAGGGATCTTTTAGTGACCGGGTAGGTTGTGCACTTGCCTTTTCCCTCTCCATGTGTCACAGAATCATAGCATCACAGAATGGTTTGGGTTGGAAGGGACCCTTACAGGTGATCTAGTCCAACCCCTGCCATGAGCAGGAACATCTTTCACTAGATCAGGTTGCTCAGCACTTAAATGTTTTGCTTGTCTTGCCCCTGAATAAATCCGTATATAGAAAAGAATGTCAACAAAGCATCTGGGTGGGGATGCTTGTCATAATCAGAACTGACCTTCCTTTTAGACATTTTCTGGTTCTAGTCTAGTGCTGTAGAATTCCATTATTTTTGCTGGCAAGTTAAAAGACTGTACTTATGTCAAATATCAAGATAATGTCAAAAATGAAGATTTCTGTCCTGTTTACTGATGGAGTTTATAAACATACTGATACACATGTATATAGTGGTCCAGTCTGTTGATATAAAATTGATAGAACGATGAGCAGATGATTTTAGATTGAAAACTGTAACTGGGGCCATTTCATATCAAATATGAAGTGCATCTGTCCCTACCTGCTCCCAGAAATCCTCTTTGCTTGTGGAATACTGCCAAATCAACTTCTGATTTCCAAATGTGATGAATGCACTTGTTTATCTTTTTAACAGTTCCAATACCCTTAAAGGTTTTTTCCTAAAGAATCTAACTGAATGTAATTCCATAGTTTAATAAGCAGCAGTTATTTTCAAGTGATTTTCTTTTTTTCTGTGCAAGCAAGAGTAATTTTAATAGCTGATAGAGCAGATAACTGAAATTGTATGGCAGAGACAACTAATATTGAAAAGTGGAACAATGGAGACTTTTTCTTCTAGAAGGTGCTGTAGCTATGCTCAGTGCCTGCATGGATTTTTATATTTTCCCCTCTTAATATGCTGAAGGAAGGCATTGTTTTATTCTGGTCCTCTCTCTTTGTGTATTGCAAATTTTAGGGCACTTGCTGGTGATAGATGAGGAAAACAAAACTAATCATTGTAGTACAAAGGGTACTTTTCAGTGTCACAGGCTGCTTGTGCATATAGGCTTGTCCTTACATGTTTTGGAGTTTAGCTTAGTTTTATTTTATTTGGAAGGCACCTCCTTTAAGTCCTCATATTTTCTTCCCAAATTAGTGGCTTGTAAGACAATAGAAATAAAGCTGGAAACCGAGTCATTTTTCCAAGGCCTGGGTCACAAATGATGACAGTCCATTTTATACTCTAAGGTGGGATACCTAAAGGCAATCGTTAGTCTCCACCAAGATGTAGTGCTGAATGGAGGGAATATAATGTATAATTAGAAAATTATATAATGTGCTTTTTCATATTAAAGCGCTAAAGAGGATTCAGAGAGAAAACTGGTATTTGGAGCACGTGTTGCTGCAAAGTGATTAATTTGCTTGGAGACACTCGATTTCCAATAGGCTCTGCACAGCCAACGAGGGAAGTGGGTGCAGGCTAAATGAGTTGTTTTGCTGGCTGCAGCTCTTTCCTGATCGATGGTTTTCATTGATGCTCCCCTACATTCCATAATTTTCTTTTTTTGGCTCCCTAACTAACTAAACTGGGTCCTGCCCAGTGACGTTAAGAATGATCCTAACGGAGGGAACATCATCAACTTGTTTGTAAGACTCTGGCTCGAATCCAGTATATATTTTCACGCTCAATGTTTTTGTAGTTTAGTCATGAATTATTAGAAAATGTCTCAACCCTTTGCAAAGATGGAAAGGCCTTGAGCTTCAACAGCCTGAAATTGGTTTGTAAGGGTTTAATATATAAAAATTCATGCTTGTTTTACATGTATAAAGCTCACTTTTTTAGGGCAAAGCTCTTTTTTCAGGAGTAGATGCTGGTTTTGTTCAATTTTATAAAAATGGTCAGCCAAATCCTTCCGGTTTTGAGGAGCTAGGGTGTGGCTGAAGTGAAGGGTGTTTTTTATTCCTGAAATACAAGTTTTCTGATGTGTAGAAGAGGCCTTGAGGCTAATGTGTTTTCTTCTCCTCTTCTTCCAAATGCCTTTTAAAATTGGGTGTTTCTGTATGAAAATTCAGATGTTGTCTAACTCTTTCTTCTGTAAGTTTACCCTCAGTACTTCCTAAAAGTGGAAGAAAACTGCCCTACTTTGAGAGTAGAATTGCTTTTATAATTCTTAAAAATCTACTTGTGTTTGTCATCTGTTGAAGAATTCCTGTAATATACTTACTTCTGGAGTTTAGGTCCATCTCATGGCAATCTTGTATCTAGGCCTGTAGATTGTCCTTTGATCATCATCTTTTAGCTTTGTAAAAGGCTTAGGTACTACGTTTTAAAGCACGTATTACTTGGGACGAAGAGAACCAAGTGAACATATATTACAATTTTATGATTAACGTATTGCACTTTAAATGTAAACATTATTCTATAAATATTGTATAAATATAATTAATGTTTTTTGTATGTACAGTCACTGTTGTGATTTATGACTGTCCTTTATAATTTAAGCTGAAAGAATATATGATAGCCCTTTTTCACTAAATTTATCAATGGTCGTACAGTTTTATATGTATATTCATATTGCCCTTGTACTTAAACTTCTGAAGTTTATCTGAACTGAATCTGAATCAGAGCTGAATCTGAGCTAGAACTGAGATCTCTACTTCCAGAGATTTAGTCCTTGATTTCTTCCTATAGATTTGATTTCTGTGTTAAGCCACTTTAAGCTTAAGGCATTTTTCATTTGTTTTTGACAGTGTATCACCTTCAGGAGATGGCCTCTTCTAAGTCTTGGATGAACCTTCTAACCTTCACTTTTGGATCAGCGATAGGATTTTTCGTCTGCTATCTTCTGTTCAGCATTATACTAGAAGAGCAGGTTAAGATCCAGCCTCACATCCTTCACAATGATCCACACGGTCAACACTCAGCAGATATCGATAACAATCAGCTGCAAGGACAAATGAATTTCAATGCAGACTCCGGACAGCATAAAGGTATTTTGTTACGCCTGACTAATTAAATAATATCCTCCCTTTTCATGCATTGCAAAATGCTGCTTTCTTCACTGCCAAGAATTTGTATGAATCCTTTTTTTTCACTTTCCCCGTGTTCAGGTTACATCTAAATAACTTTATTTCTCCTGAGGCCTACTGAATGGTAGTTTTCTTTTACAATTTTATTACAGTAATGATTTTTTTCCTTAGAGCCCAAGTGTTTGTCCAGCTTCTGTATCCAAACTTGTTTGGAGTAGGAACTTCTCAAATGTAGTATTGATGTCTAATGGGGGTTTTGCTAAGCAGGGATATTTTCTGGCACTGTAGGTGTGGCTGAAATGCTTTCGTCTAATGGGGGTTTTCTGGCACTGTAGGTGTGGCTGAAATGCTTTTCAGCTCCAAGAAGCTAATTTTGGACCAATTCTAACTTTTGATCTAGCTTCTTTTTCCTTCAAAAATACATTGCTGCTTCAGAAATATTTATTAGGTTTTATTAGTTAACAATATATATACAACAGAGCTTGTTAGCTTTTAAATTGTGTTCGTTGTGAATGGCAAAAATATTCAGCGCTTTTTAGCTTCAAGAAGCTAATTTTGGACCAATTCTAACTTTTGATCTAGCTTCTCTTTTCTTCAAAAATACATTGCTGCTTCAGAAATATTTATTAGTTTTTATTAGTTAACAATATATATACAACAGAGCTTGTTAGCTTTTAAATTGTATTCATTGTGAATGGCAAAAATATTCAGCTTTTAAATTTTCATTAGTCCTCCAAGACCATAAAGAAGTTGCCTCTAAACAGGTTTTATACTCAAATCGAGGTTTTTTCAAAGCCCTACTTCCCTAAACAGATAACCATTTTGATAGTGCTCTTATGCTCTCCTTTATTCTGTGAAGTTGGAGTAGCTTTAAGAATTTTGGTTTCTTGGTTTTGGGAGTCTTGTTTGTTTTCTTCCTAAACCTAACATCGGTTTCATTAACTGGTACATTTGGAAGAAAATGCCTTTTTTCTCTCTGATCTAGAAACGGAATGTCTGGGGGGAAGTTGCTCCTACGTTTGTTTCGCAATCAAGTCTAATTTATTTTTTTTTAACTTTTCTCTTTTTTTAGATGAGAATAAAAATATTGCAGAGGGACTGTATCAAAAGGTGAAAATACTGTGTTGGGTCATGACTGGACCTCAAAATCTTGAAAAGAAAGCCAAGCATGTTAAGGCCACTTGGGCCCAACGTTGTAATAAAGTACTTTTTATGAGCTCTGAGGAGAATAAAGACTTCCCAACTGTGGGCCTAGAAACCAAAGAAGGCAGGGACCAACTGTACTGGAAGACTATTAAAGCTTTTCAATATGTATATGATCATTATTTTGATGATGCTGATTGGTTTATGAAAGCAGATGATGATACATACGTTATATTGGACAATTTGAGGTGGCTTCTTTCAAAATACAGTCCTGAACAGCCAATATACTTTGGAAGAAGGTTTAAGCCTTATGTGAAACAGGGCTACATGAGCGGTGGAGCAGGATACGTTCTGAGCAAAGAAGCTCTGAAGAGATTTGTTGCTGCATTTAAAACAAACAAATGCTCTCACAGCTCCTCTATTGAAGACCTCGCACTCGGAAAATGCATGGAGATCATTAATGTGGAAGCAGGAGATTCGAGGGATACAAGTGGTAGAGAAACCTTTCATCCCTTTGTTCCAGAACATCATTTAATCAGAGGATACCTACCAAAAACGTTCTGGTACTGGAATTACAATTATTATCCTGCTGTAGAGGTAAGTCCTTAGGAACCTGGTATCTATTTTATTGAGTATATCTGATAATGTGTATGAATGTATATGATGTGTGAATTAGCAGTTTCATAACAGCTCAATATATTTTAGAAAAGAAGATTTTGGGATTCCCAAATCAGAAATGATTCCCAAATCACACTTAACAGATTCCCGAGTTCCGGGAGGGGCTGCTGGGTGTTGGTGCGTGCCCCTGGCTGCCTGCTGATCTTTTTGCCTGTAACTGTGGAAACATGCTGCAGTGTATTTCCTTATCACTGATTATTGTGTGCAGTGTGACCTGATAGCTGCCCTGCCCTCACTTTTGTGTTGAAGGTTGTTAAAATGTACATGTAAATGAATTACGTTGAAAAGATTATAGAAGAATGAACGTTGCCTAGAAGTGAAATAAAAGCCTGACCCAAACACGGAAATATGATTAGATTTCCTTCTGTAGTTGATTTTGAACTCTTGCCTACCTTCTGTAGAAGTGGAGGCAAAGCATGAGAGCTGGCAAAGCTAATTTTTTTTAAAATTATTTTTTTTAGCAACAAAAAAGAGCATTTACAGGCTGAAACATTCTTACTGCAAGAACTTTAGTTTGTCCTTTGTGTTTCACATCTGAAATCTCCAGTTTAAAAAAAAGGAAAGAACGTGGGGTGGGTGAAGCAGGGCACTGCTTAAAATTAAAGCAATCTGAAGGTATTCTGCATTTGATATTCATGTGATCTGTGATGCGGCTACTTTGTTAGGATTATAATCTCATTTTTAAAGGTATTATTTTTCAGCAAGCTTTGAGATCAGCATAAGTGGCCGAAATCAAGGATAGCAGTAAAGCTGGAAAAAAACCCTAAACTTTAGTTCTTTGATAGACTCTTTTCATTTTGAAGTATCTATTATTTTTTTATTTTTCAGCAGCTAGAGCATTTCTGTAGCTTAAACCAGCTATGATACTGTATTAATTAGTGTGAGGATGCAGCAGCTTTAGGTAGGGTTGCAGCTGATGGGAGGATGAGCTGTGGATGGTTATCTCCGTAATTGACGCAGTGGTGGTGGGGATCCATAATGGAAATCGCACATTTGATCCTGTCCTATCGTATTGGTGTTTGGAGTTGGTATCCAAACTAAGCTATATTGGTAAAACTTATTAAGTACTGAAAGAAGAACAATATGTAAATATATGTAAATGCAATGCATTTAGATTTGCTTGCTGTTTCTTGGTTTTATTTAAGCACCAACATAAAAAAAGAAGAATGGAAAAGCAAAAAACCTCTGACGTTAACGAGGGCAGCTAGTTTTTTCACAGGCTTGACTGCAGAAGCAAAAGACTTTGTCCAACTTTATTTTGGAAAGATGCTTTGGCAGATATGGCTTATACTTTTTGTTTGCCAACATTAAGTATTGCAGTATATGACTGAGTGATGATAGTGAATTTCTTACCATGACGTCAAGTATGTGTTTGAATTCTTCCTGGCTTTGTAATCCAGGTCATGCTTTGCAATTCTTGCTGATTATTTTGACTTGTTTTGCCTTTTAGGGTCCCGGATGCTGCTCCGATCTTGCAGTTTCATTCCACTACGTTGATCCAGTGACTATGTATCATTTGGAATATTTGATTTATCATCTCCGTCCATATGGGTATTTGTATCGCTACAATCCTGATTTGGCAAAGAATCCAGAAGAACAGAGCAAAATTGAAGCACTGGAGGGTAATCAAAAGCTAAAGCAGAAAATTTCTGAGAATTAATTGGACTTGGAAGAAAACTACAAGAAGCCAGTACAATGAGTAAGAGTCTCCTCAAACTCCTGCATGAAGCTTGTGGACTAAAATTACTTGTGGAGATTCTTATTTTCAAAATCACGTTGGCAGTACTTCCTGTCACTGTCTGTGTCCACCAGAGCCCAGTGCTGGCTCTGACTGTGTGGGGTAGCGTGACCTTGCAGCCCTGCTCATGAGGATTTGGGGCCCTAAAGCTGTGAAATAGGGGGTCATTCTGGTACACTAATATCTGGAAGAATTTGTATTAAAAAAAAAACATACTGGACGCGTTCAAAGATAATCGTACAGTATTTCTGTTCCTGTTTCTGTTCTCCTCTGGTTCCTTCCAGATGTTCTGTTGGGTCAGTTTGAATATTAGCAGTTGGATGCTGTGCAGTCAGATGCTTCACGATGGCTTTCTCTAATATTCTCAGTATCTTGAAGTTCCTGTTTGTGCTTTGCCCTTTAAGAAAGGGCGAGGCGTGAAAATAGTCTCAAATGTGCTTTGCCTTAACGACAGACTGGTTATTCTGAATAGGCAGAGATCCACCCAAAAGATCCACGTGAATTGTTTTAGAAATGGAATTCACTGCTATGAATTATCTGAAATTTTTTTAAGTCTCTGTTGTACAAAACAATATGCAGTTGGATCACTACTGTTTTAGGGAGAAACCCAGAAATAGGTTTAAATGGCTGAGGTCATACAAGCTGCTTATATATTTGCCTGTGGCTTTTTTTTGGTAGTAACTTACCCTGTTGGTTGAGTGGATATAACAATTCATCTCGGAATTTCTCAGCATAAGATAAGGCAGATGCTTTTTGAAACAGAACTCTCTCTTCCATCATACCTTCCATGTAAACCAGAAGGAATAGTACGTCAGCGAAGTTGCAATGGCATTGTAATAACTTGGTTATGGCCAGTATTCTCATTAGTTTGTTACCATGTAGTTTTCACATCGCTGTACTTTGAGATCGTGGAGTTCCTTTATTCCTTAAAATTTTACAGATACAAACAAGTCTTGTTTTAAAACTGCAGCAAAGCCCATTTGACTGCTTCCACACACACCTAAAGTACTTCATTTCACTTTTCTGAATATTTTTTTTTTTAATTCCACTCCTAAAATTTCTTCTGTATCTACATCTTGTTACCTGTTTATGAACAAGGTGTTAAATGATCCTTATTTCACTCTTTTTGAAGCTGAAGTATGTAGTTATTCAGGTAAGCCAGCCTGAATGCAGGAATCTTTCAAAGTGCATTAATTTCTCTGCTGCTTTATGGGTATTTCTGCCTCTTAACTGAAAACACTTTCTCGGTGTGGGACAAAATAGGTGTTTTAATTACTGAACAATTTTCAGAGCCAAGCCTGTGTTTTATACGGTTTAATGTAAAACTTTCTGGTTTTCTCTTTTTGGAATGGAGTGAGTAGCAGTATGGGGGGATAGGGTTAAGCCCGAGACGGAGTGTGTCTTTATTCCACACTTTGAACAAAAGGTACTTCATCTTTTTATCACTTTTCACCTTCATCATATTGATGAATTTGGACATAACCTAATTACCTCCAGTCATTGTTTTGGAAAGGGCACATACTGGTAGCCGACAGCCTTATTTACTGCTGCTGTCCTTCAGGATGTTCCTGGGAGAGGGTATTACCATAAAGTACTGGAATTTTTTTCCCAAAGATAGTTCATGTACAGATTGGGGTTCTGGCTGTTGTCGACCAGGAAAGAGTCCTGACTTCCTTTCTGACCATTGCTCTGTGGCACGATGGCGATTGCTGAAACATCTCACGGGGCTGAAACATAACTCACATCTTCTCTGCCTGAATATAGGCTGGGTTCATAGATAAACTATTAGTTAAAGGAATAGTTTCTGCAAGGTTAAATCTGCTGGTCTTTTATGAGCAAGGCTGCCTCAAGTATTGAAATGGACATGAGCTTTATTTCATGTTAATTGACTTATGTAGAAAATTGTAACTGTATTTGCTCAAAAAGGAAAAAGTCTCCAGTTTGCTGTAGTCAGAGGGATGCTCGTCCAGCGCAGAATGGACCATGCTGAGAGGTGCTTCCTTCTCTGAGCTAAATGCTTGTCCCATGTGCAGCATAACCCAGTAATAATTGAGAAGCCCATATGGTGTTGATAACTCCAGCAGCATTGTTCAAACACGCAATCGAAATTTTCTGGAACACTTCAGGAAGTTTATAAAATGCAATCAAGATCCCAGCTTAATCTCTTTGTAAATTCAGCCCGTGTAGAGGATGAACTGGACTACTGGGCTGTTCCTTTATTCCTGCTTTGTTCCTCGCTTCATCCGGGGGGATTGAAAGATTTTCTACCCCAATAGGCAGAACTAATCCTGCCTATTTTCTGCAGATTTGTGTCCTGTGTTTGCCCTGTGAAGTAACATCATTTCCTCTTCATGTTCTTTACTGTCCTGACTATCCCATCTGTGGGTTTTTGATTTTGTTATGCGTAAGCCTGGGGTGGAGGAGAGGCAGGAGGTGAGATGTTTTTGCTCCTCCACAGGTTGGCTGAGGTGGGAAATCAAACCAGCCTCCACTGGGCTCAGGGTGAAGCCTTTTCTCAGCAGCGGTTCTTGTTGTTCTCCGGTGCCCAGCTGGGGCTGGGGGGTTTAGCAGAGCCTGGCAGGAACGTCCCTGTTCACAAAACATGCAGCACCTCACAGGGAGTGGAGAAAGAAAGGGCCAAGTTTCCTTTCTGGAGGGAATAAGGCTGAGAACATACCACCATGTGATAAGTAGGTGGCCTGTCTGGAGAAATAAGAATAGCCTTTTCTTCAAACATCTATTCATGCTTTGTTTTCAAGTGTCCTTGTTCTTAGGCCTCTGAATCTATTTCTTTTGCCTTTTAACAGCACTGCAAAGAAATTCTTTTTTTCCTTCCAGACAAGCTAGAAAGGTGTTGGTTTTTACATTGTGTGATTATAACTGAGGATTGTTGGTCTCCGTTTCATTGTGTTGCCGTAACAATGAGCTGATACCTCGGAAATAATCGGTTTGTGTCTCACTCCCCTCCAGAGCTTCAGCAGACAAGATTGCAATGTGAACTGTTGGTGTCGTTTTCATGTCCAATGTGACACTACTGTCAGTAGTTGGTTATGTCACTCTCAGGTCTTGGAGCTTTGAGAAAGTATTTATTGGCTTTTGAGTATTTCTGCAGCCTGAGGAGACTGCCCTGTTTCGGGTGGGTGGATTTTTCTGAAGCACAGCCACAGGGTCTCTGTGAGGCTGTACACATATTGCTTGCTGGGTTTGGGGTTTGCTTCTAAAAGAGGTTTCTTAATTACATAAAACCTAAAAGCTTCCATTGGCTCTGAAGTGATTCAGGTGACCCACCTACAAATTTTGAACTGCTTTTCTTGGAAGGACTTGGCAGTGGGTGTTTGCTCTTGGATGTGGGAACATCTCTTTGTATAAGAGTACCATTTGAACCTTGGGTTAACTGGTTTTTTGTTCAGAGAGAATGAGAAGTGCCAAGAAGGTACCTTCTGATCACTGCTCCTAATCAGACAGTAGTATTAATATTTGCAGAAGTAGTCCAGTTTGAATCTGCTTTCATGCCAGTTAATTTTTCCCAGTGGATACTGGTCTTACTGAAGCGGTGAAACACTGCTGATGCCAGCACCATCCCTCGTCTTGCAGAAGCTCTCTTCCCAGTACCTGTTGCCTTTAAGGACACTTTCTTTGGTTTCCTTTGGTCGGGGTGTATATTAAAAATCACTTTTTCTTCACATGTTGCCATTTGTTCTGTTACGCTTCCAGAAGTATCGATTTCAGTGAGTAGTGGATAGACCTCTGAGTTTGCCCTCTGAGCAGGTGGATTTGTCTTTGTGTGACAGCAAAGTGTGGGTCATTTCTCTGACGTCCCCACTACTGATGTTGATGGTGAACATAGATGACCATAGATCTTGCGGTACAGGACCACTCAGAAAGGCAATTTCGCCCTTTTTCTGCCAAGAGAAACTTCTGTGGAACTCAACAAGTGTAATTTGCTTTGTTTTACCGTGTTGTATTTAAAATACTCCACAAATGTCATTAATGCTGTAAGAGAATTGCCTGTTGCTGCTGGACAGTGTGCTCCACTTCAAACCTGTGAATGGTTCGCTGCAGTTATAGGTAGTCGTGTCCCTCATGGCAGGTATGAGCTGGTGACTTGTCTGGAATGATCACCATAAGGATTTGTTTCTTAAATACCTTCTTTAAAGTGCCTTTGACCAATTTTTAGCATCAAAATTGAGTTGAGAATTGAATAAATAAAATAAGTTATCTCATACCCAGTTCATGTCTGTCTTCATTGACCCCTCCTGTGTGCCAGCAGAGGAGCAGAGCGGTGCAATTTAATGTAATAAAAACATTCTTACTTTTTTCTTGGGTGGGTACAGGGAAGTCCAAAGCATTCTCACGCTTGCTGTGGTTTACGTTGTTTTATTTATGCTGTCAAGAAATAGCAAGCTACTTGGAAAATGAAGGTGGTATTTTTTTAAGTGTAAAATCAATCCTAAGTGCTAGATCCACACAAGCAGCTTCTCATTTCTACGTTGTCTTGATTTTTCAGTGTCTCCACCTTGTTCCAGAGCTCAGAGTGACCTGACTGTAGCTGATACCTCAAAGATAAAGCAAAGAGTTTCACTTCCAGTGAAACTCTTACTTCTACAATCCTCCCCCCAGCCTTTAAGATTTCAATGTTGTTTTTTAACCCAGCTTTCTGCTATTCCTGCAGAATAATATTCAGCAGGAAAGAATATTCCACGTAGGCAGATGGGAGGTGGCTTTACGTTGGGAATGTTGGTTGGTGGTAGGCACGAGCAGGGCACAGCTGTGTTTCATTAGCTTAAGTAAGGCAAAAGACCCTGCTGGTATTAACCTGCATTAATTAACTCTTTCATTTCCAAGCGCAGGCAGTGTGTGACAGCCCGTGTAAGCGTGCTCTGCAGGCAGACTGCTTTAGCTAAGGAATAGCAGCCGACTGACCAGCCAGGAAAAGCTCTTCTCTGAAGTTTCAGGCAGATGTTACCCTTTTACGTGATGCTGCTGCAACTTCCCACTGTTGGGATCAAACTGGATCCAGCAAATTGCAGGGCGATGTGAGGATTGGAGCGGGACAAAAACTCCAGCCACTGCTCTGGAGAAAAATAATTCCGTAAGTGTGGATTTGCTTTCCTTGCTTTTTTTTTTTTTAACAGATTGCATATTTAATTACCAGAAGTTCTGTACACAGGTGGAATATCATTGAATGAAGGTAAGCTCTGCCAATCTGCTCGCTTTTGGAAAGCTTCACCAGCTCATGGGAATTTTCCTACAGTTCTCTCTGCACTGGTGTGAACTGGTTAGGCTGGTATTTGGCATTTATAAAGGAAACTTCTCTTATTTTTCACTTCTGCACAGAGAGGTGAACAGCCTTTTGCAAAGCTGAGCGGCAACGGTTTCAAATTTAGATCTGAAACGAGATGGGAGGAATGGGAATTTCCTCCCATCTCTTTGGGGAGTTTGGCAGGAATGAAGACAGGCTGAGAGAGCTGGGGGTGTTCAGCCTGGAGAAGAGAAGGCTCCAGGGAGACCTTAGAGCCCCTTCCAGTCCCTCAAGGGGCGCCAGGAGAAATGGGGAGGGACTCTGGATCAGGGAGGGGAGCCATAGGACGAGGGGGAAGGGTTTTAAATTGAAAGAGGGGAGATTGAGATGAGATGTGGGGAAGAACTTGTTTGGTGTGAGGGTGGTGAGAGCCTGGCCCAGGTTGGCCAGAGAAGCTGTGGCTGCCCCATCCCTGGAGGGGTTCAAGGGCAGGTTGGAGGGGGCTTGGAGCAACCTGGTGTGGTGGGAGGTGTCCCTGCCCAGGGCAGGGGGTTGGAATTAGATCATCTTTAAGGTCCCTTCCGGATCTAACCGTTCTATGATTCCATGATTCTATGAATGTAATGTCTGTTCCCAGGCTATTTCATCTCACGTGGCTGTAAAGCAGAGCCCGTATCTCTCCTGGATTTGTAGCCCAGCTGAGCTCTCCGCAGGGATTAATCATAAATCGTTTGAAAACCACCCCCGAGGGTCTGAAGTTTGCCCCAGCACAGAGCAGTTCCTCACCAGCACTAGCAGTTTGCATATTTCCAGTTGAAAACACCAGGTTTTGCAAATTGCGCTGTAGAATCTGAGATACAGTTAGTGTTTGAAGGACAGAGAGGGTAACGGTGTCTAAAACCAGTCCTCAAACACCGCTGAGAAAAGCAAACCCTCCTGTTGAGAACCTGGCAGTGCTGCCACCTGAACAATGAAGCCTTTGTTCCCCTTTGTCCGCCTTACCCCGATTTTTAGCCGGGCGGTGTCTGTTTACCGGGATTAGAACATCATTTGTCAGTCAAACCAACAGCATCCTGCTGCTGGAGTGTTTCCCCATCACCCCCCTCGGCCTGTCTCAGCCTTAGCTCTGCAGCTCCAAAGCTGCCTCCACGTGTCTTCTTCACACTCGAGTCAATGTTTCTTGAAAGGCGATGGCCGGGTTTTCACTCGAGGTGGGTTTCCTGATCTCTAAATCCTTCCTGCCTCTTCACCTTCTCCCTTTTCCTTCCAGAGAAGTTCTGCTTCCTTGTGGAAGTTCTGCTTATCATTCTGAGTCATTCTTAACATCTCTTTTATGTCCCGTTTTCTAGAAGGGTAGCTAGGACTCTCCTGTTTCATGTTAGGACTAATGTGTACCATTTCCATCAGGTGGGGAAGGGACTATTACTGTCATTTAAGTATATATCCTATAAGTGACTGACTGTAGGCTGAGCCTGCCCTCCTGGTGCTGTATCCCAGTGAATGCACACGGGGTTTTATGCGTGCAAAGGTTCCCTTCTCTCCCCCTCCCCGTGCAATGGCTGTGCCTGTTTCCTCCTGAACCCAGAGATCTGGTTTCCTTGGTTTGCGGAGCTGGAAGATTAACTCTGCCCTTGGCACGGTTCCCTTCTCTGTTGCAAAACCTTCTAATCTCCTGTAGCCAACAGGTAGCTGCTGTTAAAAATGCCATAAAAAATTATTATAGGCAATGTAAGAACAGGATCCCCAACAGATTTCCCCACGCGGAAGCAATAAAGGGGAGGCTGTTCTGCCTGCGCCACCTGCTCCTCACGTAAGCCCCAGGCTTAGGAATTACTTAGTTCCTAAAAATTAAATAATTCTTAAAAGGCAAATACTTGAAGAACAGGAAACAAGGCTTTCCCTCGATGCTCAGTTCCGCGTTACGCCGCTGCTCCACAAATCCATCTGATCCGTGTTGGAGGACGAGGAAGCTGGGTGAAGAAAACAGTTCCAGAAACGCAGCCAGTATCTGAAGGCCTTACACTGCCACCCGCGGGAGGAGATGTCACCACAAAGGCTTGTCACCCACCGAGAACCAGCTGGTGAGCGCCCAAGGACGGGTGGAGAAGGAGCCCCAGGTGCTGCCAGCGAGTGCGAGGTTCAGCACACGCCTCAGAGCCAGAACCATCCCGACGCCGTGGCTGGAGTGAGCTTTATATCACAAATAACTTCTAGATCTGATGTTCCCTCTGCCATTGAGGCTGTTCCAAAAGCAGAGATCAAAATCACAGAATTGCCTGGGTTGGAAGGGACCTTTCACATTGAGTCCAACCATCAACCCACCACTGACATGTCCCTCAGCACCACATCTGCCCGGCTTGTAAAGCCCTCCAGGGATGGGGACTCCACCACTGCCCTGGGCAGCCTCTTCTAATTTCCAGCCTCTTTCCTTGTAAAAAATTGTTCCTAATTTCCAATTGAAACCTCCCCTGGCCCAACTTGAGGCCGTTTCCTCTAGTCCTGTTGCCTGTTCCTGTGGAGAAGAGCCCGAACCCCCCTGGCTACCCCCTCCTTTCAGGGAGTTGGAGAGAGCCAGAAGGTCTCCCCTCAGCCTCCATTTCTCCAGGCTGAACACCCCCAGCTCCCTCAGCTGCTCCTCAGGAGACTTGGTCTCCAGACCCCTCACCAGCTCCGTTACTCCTCTCTGGACCCACTCCAGCACCTCAGTGTCCCTCCTGCAGTGAAAGCCCCAAAACTGGACCCTTTGACTCCATTCTCAGCCCATCTGCACCTCCCTGCTCACCAGCTCGGGAGCCCTCAGGTCACGGGGGCGAGTGATCCAGCTCCCAGTAAAAGCTGCTTCTGTGCAATAGCTTCATTTCCAACAGGACACATTCTCCCCCTGTTTTTGTACTGGAGCTGATAGACCCTGGGCCCAGGGACTCTCATTCTCTGCCGCTGCTGTTCAGACTGAGCCCTGACTTCCCTGGCAGCTTGGCTTTCCAGAAAACGCTCCTGGGGTTGGTATTTATTGCTATAAATGTGCCATTTCAGCAGCATTGCAAGGGTTACAGACGCAGCGGGAGCACTGCAAGGGGGTCCTGGGTTACAGGGTACATTGCTCTTTGGCTTTATAGGGCAGGATAGAGCATAAAGGCCCTTTTTATAGCCGTGTTCCTGCTTTGGTGTAAATACCTTATCCCCGCAACACTCCCTATCTGGTTTGCTCAACATCCTGTTTACACAATGTGCTGTTTAATCATCTGCCCTGCGAGAACTTATAAAGGTGTTGGAAAGCTCCAGGAGCAGGAGGTAGCCATGGTGGCCAGCAGAAAAATGTCATTTTTGTGGGATGGATCAAGAGGGGACTCGGCTCAGAGCTCCTGCTGCTGAGCCGAGTTCTGCAAGTTGTTAATTCCATGTGATTTAAAAAAAAACAACCAACAACCTGTTGATTTCTCACTGGGTTTGTTTTCTAGGGTGTTTGGTTGTTTTCCTGCTGGTGGCACTGCAGGACAAAGCCGTGGTCCTCAGGGGTCTCTCCTGCAGCTGGGATTTCTTCCTGCTGACGTGAAGTGACAAGATCTGTGACGCTTGACTCGGGGACCAGACCAACCACCTCACTCTGTGTCAAACCTGAATCACTGATGTGGACGTCAGCTCATTTCTGGGCACTTTCCTCAGGTGACTTTTCTCCTCTAAAAAGCAAAGTTTCAACCCATTTATGAACTGTGAACTAATCCAGTGCATTGCTGAGTGTGCCAAAAAAAGGTCAAAAAAAAGCCTGACATATGACTACTAAATTACACAGAATCACAGAACGATATGGGGTTGGAAGGGACCTCTGGAGATCATCCAGTCCAAGCCCCTGCCAGAGCAGGGCCACCGGTGCATCGCTGAGTGTGCCCAAAAAAGGTCAAAAAAAAGCCTGACATACGACTACTAAATTACACAGAATCCCAGAATGCTATGGGGTTGGAAGGGACCTCTGGAGACCCTCCAGTCCAACCCCCGGCCAGAGCAGGGTCACCCAGAGCAGGTCCCACAGGAACGTGTCCAGAGAAGGAGACTCCACCACCTCTCTGGGCAGCCTCTGCCAGGGCTCTGCCACCCTCACAGCAAAGAAGTTCCTCCTCATGTTGAGATGGAGCTTCCCATGTTCCAGTTTGTGCCCATTCCCTCTTGTCCTGTCCCTGGGCACCACTGAAGAAAGCCTGGCCCCGTCCTCCTGACACCCACCCTTGAAGTATTTATAGGTGTTGATCAGATCCCCCCTCAGTCTTCTCCAGAACTGGTCCCAGTGCTCCAGATGGAATAATTCCGAATTCTCAAGGCTCCTGCTCAGACAATCATTTGTGCTCACACAATCCCCCGGGATGCTCTGGAACACCCAGTGAGTGCTGTGACTTTTGGTTGACCGAGTTGTCTGGTTCAGCCAGAAGGAAAAACTAATTCCGAATTATTTGTGCTCACAATCATTTGTGCTCACACAATCCCCCTGGATGCTCTGGAACACCCAGCGAGTGCCGTGACTTTTGGTTGACCGAGTTGTCTGGTTCAGCCAGAAGGAAAAATGGGAGATTTCCATTGGCAAAGGGGCTATTCCCTTGGGGCAGAGCGTGGTTCTGCCTCCAGCACCGTCCTCCTTGGTGCAGAGACGGGTCGATTTGGCAGCCTGTGCCCTGAGGACCCGGTGACGGGCGCAGTTCTGGGGTGTGCAGCCTGAGCTGCAGCTCTCTGGGGGTCATCGTGCGGGGAATATTCATTTTCACAACCGTATTTGGTATGTGAATCTCATTATACTTGAATTAATTGGAAAATACAGCCTTTCTGGTCGGCAGAAATCTATTTTACCTATTAATTGACAGTGTAGTTAAAGCCAGGGAAGCTCTCCTTTGAGGGAACACCGTGCGCTTGGGAGCTGCCCTGAATGAAATCAGAAGTAACTGAAACTGCCAATTACATCCCGATGGTAATTGTGACGAATTCCCAGCTATTTGCTTGCCATGGAAAAATCACTACTAACTGTCCCCAGTGTCCCCCCCACTGCCCCATAACCAGGGGCTTTTTATGAATTATTTCTCATTTATTTACTGCTCTGGCAGGTTATTTTTCTGTATTCAGAGAGCTTTTAGCTGCTGAGGGAGAAGCCTCACCTCTCCCAGCCCCACCAGCCCCAGCAGCTCCCCAGCTGAGCTTGCAGCAACTTCAAACCTCATCCCAAACTCTTTTGGGGGCTCAACTCCTATGTTGAGCCTTGTCATTGCCCAAACTTGTCAAAACTCTTCTCTACCGTTATTTTTTCAAGCAGAAATGGTTTTCTTTGTGTCCCAGCCATGCCAGATGTTGGAGAGATTCCCTTTGCCATCCCAGGAAGATGGGAATCTCTCCCTCCTGCCTCCCTGTCCCCACGCAGGGAGGGTACAGGGGCTGAAAGCAGAGGCTGTGAGACGAGGAGAGCTCACGGGTTCTTCCTTTTGTCTTAGAAAATTGCTCTAAAATAGGTCTTACGTACTGTTAGAAAGCTAAAATATAGTCTTTATGGATGACTCATTTGGCTGAATTTCTACATATTCCCAGTTAGGGAAAAAAAAAAAAAAAAGCAAAGCAGAGCTTAAGTAGAATTTGGCTCAAAATTTGCGTTTCAATTATCCCTGGTTCTGTCCCAACTAAAAGATTTTAAAAGCCTTACTCATTTGGCTGAATTTCTACATATTCCCGGTTAGGGGAAAAAAAAAAAAAAAAAAAAAAGGAGAGCTTAAGTAAAATTTGGCTCAAAATTTGCGTTGCAGTAAACACAGGTTACGATGCAGAAGGCACTGATGTTCCACAGTCTTGTTCTTTCAATAAGGTTTCCTTTCTCAACTCCTGAATCGCCAACTGCACAGTGGTGTTTGTGCACGAATAATGTCCTCTTTCAGCCCGACGTTCAACTGCAACAACACTACACTTTGTTCAGGGGGAAACTTTTAGGGCTGTGAGCACAATAATGACCTCAGAAAAGAGACATGGCATGTACGTGGTTTTATCAGTCTATTGCCAAAAAAATAAAGAAGAAACAAAGCAAAAGGAAAATAAATTGGCTGAAGACAGCATTATCTGGAGCTGGATTTGACACTGCTTCCAGCAGTGACTGTGTCAAAACTTAGTCCCTGACTTTCTGAAAGTTCCTATTTTACAGGACCAAAAAAAGCTGCTGTTAAAAATGGAAAAGGATCCCGTGGTAAAGATGCTTTTAACTATTCTTGACTTCCTGAAACAACGGAGACTATGTGTGTGTGTGCACCTCCCTACATGTGGAGTGAGTGATGGGAAGGAACAATGGAAGTCAGCTTGTTCTTAAACTCCTTAAGTGTGAAAAACATACAATATTCCTGTTAAGTAGTTCTATCTGTCTTTTTAAAGAACCTTCAATATTGAAAAAAATCAGAAAAGTATTTAAACAAGAACAAAAAATCCTCAAATTTTTAGACAAACACAGGAGAGTGTGACTTTTACATCTGGTGCAGCATCATGTAGCCTGTTAGTACTTAACAAAACTATATTTGTTTAACAAATACTTAATAATACTTAGTAACAATAACAACCAAAAAAAAGGTACCTTTTTGCTCTAAGAAAGGTTCATCCATCTTAGCATACTTTCATGAACAACCTTGGGAATTCAACTACATGGAAACTTTCTCCAGCCAAATGAAGACATCAGCAATGAATCAAACTCCACACCCTACTCAGCAAAAAAAAAAAAAAAAAAAGCAAAGCAGAGCTTAAGTAGAATTTGGCTCAAAATTTGCGTTTCAATTATCCCTGGTTCTGTCCCAACTAAAAGACATGATAATTCTCCCAGAAGTGAAGACACTTCTATTTAAGGCTGTTTTAAGTGAAAAATGTAGTAAATAAATACAATTTGTATTTCTTTGCCTGGTGACCCAGTGTGAGAGCTGAGACACCTGGGCGTGTTTGCCCCTGCCATTTCCAAACCTTGATGTGCTGCAGCTGGAGGAGCTCTGCGACCGGGGAGGGGAAAACAAGTCTGAGGAGGCTGAAATGATGATAAATGATCACTGATAAGAAGCTGCAGGAGGAATAACAGCAGATAACGAGGCTGTCGAAGATCTCAGCGCTGGACCTACAGCATCCCATGTCTCAGGAGACCTTAGAAAAGTCACTCGACTTGCAGAAGAGCTGGGGTCTCTCCCTTTTTCCCTAAACTTTGTTTTTTCCTCTGTTGTTGTGGCCATATGGTCACTATTAAACATAGATATTCCTGGTATGGTGGCACTGGCTGTGCTACTGACCAGTGCTTTGAGTACTCAAACAGGAGTTTGATTTTTTCCATGATCTTTCTGTGCCACAAGTAGGCAGTTTGTTTGTTTCCCATCTTTTATTTGACCTTTTATTTTATTTGCTGCTCACATCCAGCTTTATATGGAGCTAATTTCATTCCTCACAAGAGTCCGTCTATAGCATTTGCATTAGATGCTGAAACAGTTTATTTTTCTGGTGAAAAAAAACCTTAACAGACTTATTACAAGTTGTGTCAAATTTTACTTTCTGATTTATTTTCCTTTTCTCTGGAAGGAAATTAGTTCTTGATTTCAACAGCTCAATTTTTGTTGTACACTGCTGAGTCCCTTCATTTTCGGGGTGTCACCGGACACGCAGCAGAAGGAAACCTCCCTGAGTTCTCCTGCTCCAGGTCACACAGAAATTAGTTGTCCCCTCCGGTGGCTGGGGATTTGGAGCCATCCCTCTATCAGCTGTGAGTAAGAGCAGGAGGTTTTGGGGACATATGTTCTGCTGTCATTTTTTTTCCTTTTCTAATTTGAAACTCGCTCGCAGGGCCAGGTTTTTGGAAGAAAAATTAAGCAGTTTTAAACTGTGCTTCTGGCACATCTTTCCCTAGAGTTAAATTTGCTAATTGTTTAAAGACACGAGGAAGGGTCGGTGCTGCCTGGGTGGACACTGGGGTTTGCTGGCAGAGGGGTGACAATGGGGGACTCTTTGCTTCCCGTTTTAATCAAACTGAAAATCATCCATTTTCAGATTTAACAACACAGTATGTTCATACAGGGCTCACGGCTAAAAGTAGAAAGGCTGTAACTAGGCATTTATATACATTTTTCAACACTTTTCCCTTTTTTTAATTTAATAGCAGATATCAGAGTGATAGGACTTTATTTATTGACCACAGAGGCCCTGAGAAATGGGAGTGTATCAAGCATAAAGGACGTGAAGAATCCTCGTTTTAATGTAAGTCTGAAGGCAAATCCCACCTTTATAATTGAAAAGTTAATCCACATGTGCTTTAATGGGGGAGAGGGGGGAGGGAAAGGCCTGTAATTACTTATAGCTGTGGTATTTACATTCCAAAGAGGTACTCTAATTAATGGAAATCTTAATTTATGTCTCTAAATGCTGTATTAAGAGTGCTAATTTCAGGAACCACTTACGTTTAAAACTAGAGCATATTTTATTCTTCCAAGAGAATAAGAGACCTCTGTCATTAAATGTTTAACACTTTCAACATTTTAGTCCTTAAAAAGAGAATTACATCGTTCCCACATGCAGTAGTAACAAGTTAATATAAATCTGGAGGGAAAAGGTCTGTTCCTGAGTGTGTGTGTGCGGTTGGAAGTTGTTGCCGTGGTGTTGCAGGTAACACAGGTTATAGGGGAATTTGGTTAATGGGAATGCCAGAGTGGGGGAGCAGCAGAGCGTGGCAGTAATATATTCATGTTAACACGGCCTTCTGGATTCTTCTCAGTCATTTCTTCCTCCATGGACACGAACTTCTGGCTTTGAAAACACTGAAGAGCAGTCAGCTCTAGAAAAAATAAGGAATTGATTAATTTCTCTGAAATGTTTAAAAAAATAACATGCTGAAGGTCAATAGCATTGTCCTGTACTGCGAGATAAAATAAAGGATTTAATACAATTTATTGGGGATGAGCTGCAAAGGACGTTGTGCCCTACGGATAAGCCAGCTCTCTGATGGCCAGGAGCTCCTGGAGCACGTGGGCCTAAGGCAGTTAAAAGTCTGCTTGGATTCCAGAAATGTAAGGTCTCTCTCCCCCCAAAAGAAAGTTACACTGGTGTGAGAGGGACCATCTCCTCATAACAGTGAAAAGAAGGAAACAAAGGAAAGGGAAGAGATTATCAGTGGAGAGAATCCACTGGAGGATGTGTGCTATGCTCTGTCCTACTCCATCTGTCATGAGGGATCTAGAGGAGGGAGTCAAAAGTGATGGGACAAATCTGTGACAATGTTGTTTTGCTCTGAAGAGTAAAGAAAAGGATTGACTGCAAGAAACTGCAGAAGGACCTTGTGATACTGTGTAGGCTGAGCGTGGCAAAGCAAAACTGGGTTTTGATAACGTGAAATAACACCCAAGGGGAAAACCAATCCTAAATTCACATATAATGTAATGGGCTCTCAGCTCATCCTATAGATGAAGCCTTGGATTTACGTTGGATGGAAACACCACCTCCAGCCTCAGAAATGGTAAAACAATCAAACACAATGTTAGAAGCTAGAAAGCGAGGAACAGAGATCAAAGTAGAAAACCTCCCTGTGTATAAATCCATGACCACGACGTGCACTTTGGGTCCCACCATCTCAAAAAGCTTCAGCAAAACGTATCCAGGTTGATCAAAGGTATGAAATACGACACGAGATGTATGTATAGCACGGGAGACATCAAAATACCCTCAGTCTTTTTAGTGTGGAAAAAAGGGGATTGAAGGAGATGGAGATAACTTACTTATCAGTCGATGCAGGTTTCTCGACATTCTTTTTCTGTTTCAAACCTGTTGTTGGTGCCACCACAACCTCCGAACCAGAACTGGCCACAGGAGTTGCCGTTCCTGTCGTAATACCATTTCACCACGTAGTCCCGGCAATCCCCTGGGGCCATGGGCTCAGAGCACCTCGGATCTGAAAGTTTATCAGTGAAAATCAGCTGGGGATTGGTGTGTAAGAGACATTATCCCAGAAGTGCCTCCTTCAGAAAGAAGAGAACCCCCTTCTTTTCTTGCAGTGCCCGGGAGTAGATGTGCTTCTCTCAAATTTGTAGCCAAATTCCACTTTTATCTGAGTATCTGAGGACAGTAGTTATGGCTTACCTTTTTGGGCTGTTGCTACCTGTGTTTGCCACACAGTTGGGTGATTTTCAGTTACGTTGACCCAAGAATGGACAACTGGCCTCTCGGGTCTGACGTCGGGCATGTGGTAGAGCGGGGGAATCCCCCCTTCTCTGTGAGCAGAGGGGGTCGTGGCGTGATCCCGAGCAGGAGGCAGTGGCCCCATATCCCTGGTCCTGGGTGGGCTCAGCTGCAAATCAACATTCTCTCTGGGCTCAGGGGCCAAGAGAGAAAATGGAGAGGAATTACATAGGAAACTATTGCTAAATAACAAGTGTAAAAACACCGTTAAGAGCTGGTGGGTTTGGGCTTCCTTCTAGTGATTACTCAGGACGTGACCGTCATTTTAACAAATGACACTGAGAGCTGAATGAAAAGGCAAAGTAATGCCTTCCATTTAGTCACTGAGCCAGATTAATTCCCTGAAGCAAAATTTCAGTAACCACTTAGTCTGTAATAGAAATAAAACAAACAAACAAAAAAGGAAGGAACTGGAGAAGAGAAGGCTCCAGGGAGGCCTTATAGTGGTCTTCCAGTACCTGAAGGGGCTCCAGGAGAGATGGGGAGGGACTATTGATCAGGCAGCATAGTGACAGGACAAGGGGTAATGGTTTTAAGCTGAAAGAGGGGAGATGGAGCTGAGATGTGGGGCAGAACTTGTTTGGTGTGAGGGTGGTGAGAGCCTGGCCCAGGTTGCCCCGAGAAGCTGTGGCTGCCCCATCCCTGGAGGGGTTCAAGGGCAGGTTGGAGGGGGCTTGGAGCAACCTGGTGTGGTGGGAGGTGTCCCTGCCCAGGGCAGGGGTGGCACTGGATGATCCTTACTGTCCCTTCCAACCCAAGCCATTCTATAACTTTGGGGTAAATCAGTGCTTCTTAATATCTAGTACGCTCAGTGGGAACAATTTCCCATTTTCAGTCTGTCACGAAATGGAAAATTTGGGTGGGAGGAACAGGGTACTTGCTATTGGTAGAAAAACACATGGATATTATGCTCCTCCAAAGACCTTTTTTGGTGTGGAATCCCTTGAATACAGCAAAAATTTCCAAAACCGTTTGATAACTGTTACTTCTTTACTTACTGGAAAACTAATTCCTTCCGTAGGGAGCGTATAAATCTCCGAAGTAGTAATTTTTGGAAAGTGGCTATTAGTGGTATCTTCATTAGCAATTTCAGATTCCGGGCTCGGAGACGGAGACAAAACATTCTCTTTTCTGGCGTAGATTTCGGACACATTCTCACAGATTTTTGTGATCAGTTTATTTTCAAGAGCTGAAAAGATTAACAAAATTATGACATTTATTATGGGTGATCAAGAGTAGTCATAATGATTCACCACTAGCTTTTAGTGCATTATTAACTCTAAAGCGTTAATGACAGTGACTTAGGAAAGACCATCTTCAAAAGTTATGCCAAAATGCAAATGAGAAATAACAAGGTAGTGCATTCTCAGAATTTTTTGATTTAAGGCCATTTTGCTCTTTTAAGAAGAAACAGATAAAGTAACAAGGTAGTGCATTCTCTGAATTTTTTGATTTTAAGGACATTTTGCTCTTTTAAGAAGAAACAGATAAAAATATAAAGTCCCCTTTTTTATGCAGAAGTCATAGCTCAACAGTGAAGAAAAAAAACCCAGAGTGAAGGAAATAAAGTGTTTATTTGTAAGAAGGAAAAGAAAAACTGGGCGAGAAATTCTACTTCCTTGCCCAAAAAATGTCAGTGACTTTTAGGTGGAATGCTGGAGCCTGAGTCAGACCCTAAGCTTTACCCCAGAACCTTGGCTTGGACTCTTTTTTCCCCATTAATGCCTTAAACCCAGACTTAACTCCACCCACAGCCTCACCACAGCAGAAAAAGGTCAAGAAAAATATAATTTATAGGGCGAGTCTGTGGTTAGTCTAGATCAATGTACCTGCTTTTTTCATAGGTCACTATAGGATTCCTCAGGATTTTCTCCTGATTCCAGCTGTGATTTTTTTCAAGCCACAGTTTGAAATAAATATACGATGTACTCTCAGCCTCCATTCCCCCATTCCCTCCACCACTTTTCCCCTGGAATCAGGATGAAAGAGTAGGTTCCCCTACAGGTCGTAAGAGATGTTGGAGGGACTCCAAGACTGACAAGAGCCATGTGAAATAGGGAAAGAGAGGGAGATGTTGCACCAAGGTGGAAGGAAATCTACACCTCTCTGGGATGAAACCATGGCCAAGCACAAAAGGACAGTGAGGGAAGGCCTGATGCAAGCTCCCAAAAAGATGGGTGCCCCCAAAGAAGGCCTCGGCTCAGAAAACTCATGTTCATTGTGTTTTATTATTTCTGCAAGAGGTGAAAATCTGGCAAGGTTTAATTTGGCCAAAAAGGAAGAATCATAGAATCATAGAATCATCTGGGTTGGAAGAGACCCTTGGGATCATCGAGTCCAACCATCTCCCCTACTCTACAAAGTCCTCCCCTACACCATGTCCCTCAGCACTGCATCTAAACGGCCCTTAAACACAGCCAGGGATGGTGACTCCACCCCCTCCCTGGGCAGCCTGTTCCAATGCCCGACCACTCTTTCGGTGAAAAATTCTTTCTTAATGTTCAATCTAAACCTCCCCTGTTGGAGCTTGAAGCTGTTCCCTCTTGTTCTATCACTAATTACCTGTGAGAAGAGACCAGCACCAACCTCTCTACAGTGTCCTTTCACGAAGTTGTAGAGAGTGATGAGGTCTCCCCTCAGCCTCCTCTTCCTCATACTAAACAGTCCCAACTCCCTCAGCTGCTCCTCATACGATTTGTTTTCCAATACAAGAGAAGCAGAAGAAAGAGCTGCATCCAAAAGAGAAACACAAGCCGACACTCAGCGGGCTGCCCTGCCTTGCTATGGCAAAGGCCAGACTCTCCCAGGTGCTCATTTCAAGTTTCCTTGTACTAAAATAGCTTATTTTACCTGAAAGCGTCATGAAGTCATCTATCTGGTAAACATGTTCTTCGTCAGGGTCGGTTGCAATGAGCTGCATTTCCCTCAGGAAATCATCATAATGAGGATCAGTCCTTTGAATGATCCCGATGACAAAGATCTCGATGTTGGTGGCGTGGGCCTCTCTGATGACAGTATCCAGCTGGACCTCATCCCGGGCGTCCGCCTGTCCGTCTGTTATCACCACGGCCACCTTTCTGACCGCCGGGCGCGCCGCCTGGAACAGCCGAATGGCTTCTTGGACAGCGGAAGCCGTGTAGGTGCCTTCACCCAAGTAGGGCATTTTGTTGACGGCCGATTTCAGGAGTTCTTTGGTGGAGTATTGCTTCAGAGAAGACACCAGCTCCACTTTATGGCTGAAGTTGATAATGCCGATGCGGGTTGTGGCGTGGTTGGCCGACACCTTGTCAATGACCGTTTTCATGAAAGTTTTGATGATACCAAAGTTATCTGGCCCAACACTTTCTGAGCTGTCGATGACAAATACTAGTTCCAGTGGTGTTATCCTACATCGGATACCACACCCTAGAAGAATAAACCATGTCAGAAGTTTGATGAGAAACCGCCTTCAGAAGAAGGAGTTGAACTTATATATCAGCTAAAGGTCTATTAATTAATTTATAGTTACTGGTACTGATAAATAGGAACAGAGCTGGACCAAATTACTTCCAGTGACTGTCATCTTCACACCAACGCTATCCTTACACACAAACATGAAGAGGACAAATCCACTCAGACAATATAAATTCCATGTGTTTCATTAGAACTATTTTTTTTTCCATACTGGAATGCTTACCACAGATTTCACTGATAAGTCTGATAACTTCTTCTCTCTGAAAAAGAGCAGTAATTAATTTGCCGTGCGTTCTAGTTTTAAGAATGCTGGAATCTGTTTATCTTCAGCCTGGAGAAAAGGAGGCTGAGGGGAGACCTTCTTGCTCTCTCCAATTCCCTGAATGGAGGGTGTAGCCAGGGGGGGGTTGGTCTCTTCTCCCAAAGAACAGGCAATGGGATGAGAGGAAACGGCCTCAGATTGCACCAGAGGAAGTTCAGATCGGATATTAGGAAACATTTTTACCCTGAAAGGGCTATTAAGCCTTGGAATGGGCTGCCCAGGGAAGTGGTGGAGGCACCATCCCTGGAGGTATTTAAAAGCCGGGTTGACATAGTGCTTAGAGACATGGGTTAGGGATGGTTTTTATCAGAGTTAGGTTGATGGTTGGACTCAATGATCTTAAAGGTCCCTTCCAATCTTGACAGTTCTATCATTCTATGATTCTGTTTATTTACAAAAACTTGGGCAATGCAATGCCTCATAAACAATTTTGTGTAACATCACATAACCTTTAACTATTTTCCTAAAATAAACTTCTGTCTTTTAAATTAATTCATGTACATGCTTACCGAAAGGCCAGGTTCACCTTTTCTTCCCCAAATTCCCTGGAAACACATACAGTGAGATAATTAACTAAAGCCAAATTTGTCTAATTTCTATTGTGTAAAATTAAGGAATATGAAAACGTGTTTTACCTTTGGTCCTGGAGGTCCTGGGTCTCCAATCTCTCCTTTGGCTCCTTTGCTTCCTGGATCACCTTTATCTCCATAGTCTCCCTAATTTAAACCAACCGTAAACACAATCAGTAACTCCATTTCTGTCCATACTCAGAGCTGATATCATGGTTCAATGAGCTTTTAACATAAATTTTCTGATTTTTTTTTTTTTGTGTGGCTGGTTTATCATGTGTGCATTATGAAACAAACGCCTGAAAGCGGGCTCACAGAGAAAGCAAGATGGGCAGAAAAAACCACAGAAATTTCTGTGAAAAATTACCTTAATTCAGGAGTGAGGGGTAAAGACATCTTTATGAAAATATTGAAGAGATGTAATTTTTTACTCTGAGGTTCTTGAACTCTAGAACAAAGTTTCTACTGGCCATGTGTTAACTCTGACCTATGGAGAGACGTAACTGCTTCGGATCAGCCACTGCACTGAAATTCAGCTTTGTACAGAACCCACAGGAAAAACTGGGAGCTTGCAAAGAGCAGGGGAAAAGGCATTCTTGGACTGTGAAATCCATTGGAAAATATGTAATTTCACATTTAGATGCAATTCTGCACATTTTTTCCTCAACTGACTAGACCTTTTGATTTCAAAAAAGAGAAAGGGTTCAATATTATGGTATTTCAAGTGTTGGTCTTCATATACTGCAGCTATGAAATGTACTATCAAAAGATTCAGGTCCTAAATCAGACATTTCCTCCAGAAGGATATGGTGCAGGACAGGTTTTTACTTCTCTCTGGAAGTTACTCACCACCTTGCATGTCTCTTGAAACTTTAAACCTCAAAGACCTGTCACATCAAATAACCAATAAAGGAAGAAAAAAATTACCTTTTTTTCCTTACTGCAAACCTAGGATTTACCTTTGGTCCAGGAAGGCCAATTCCTATCGATCCCTTTAGGCCAGGCAAACCTTGATTTCCTTTTTCTCCCTGAACAGAATATGGAAAGTAAGTTTAACTGAAAATCAAAGCAAAATCTATGTTGTATCTATTCACTTTGTAACATTCTGCATCATGAAGAAAGCCAGATACTTGTATTATACTATGAAGCACGTAATTTTCAAGCCAGAAGTGGTCTGTAGCTGGAGAAATAAGCAATTGGGTATGATTCAGAACACACACGAAGCCTTTATAATGTATATAATGAAGAATTTATTCCTGATTAATTAAATAAAAGATTGTCATTTCACTGAATCAGATGAGAGACAGAAGTAACCCCTCTGAGGCTCTAAAATACTGTCATTTGTCAAATGAGAGACAGAAGTAACCCCTCTGAGGCTCAGAAGGTCACTCATCCTGTCTACAAGAGGTCTGACACAAAGGCTCTCTAGAACTCCCCCCAGGATCTCTGCAGGGTTGAGTTTTTCTGATCTTAAGTAAATAAAATGGCATCTCTGTTTTTCACAACGTGGAGAGCAGAACATCCTTCTGCTGATACTTCAAAATGCACTGTCAGCCCAGCTACAAATTTGTTTATGGTGACAGTTTTAGGTGCCCTGCTGCCTGTGCCCAGGCTGGGAGAGCCTGTCGGTGCCAGCAGTGTGGGCACACAACAGGTTATAAAACACAGCTCTTACAAAATATGTACAGAAAATACCTCACAGCATCTGCCTTCTAGAAACTCTCTGCTTTGTTTCATAGGGCAATACAAATATTTTTTTTCCTGGTACTCCTTTTGTTAGTAATGGGCCTTCTCAGAAATGGGCCAAAAGGGGTTATTCTGCTCATAACGGGTAGCAAAATACTAAAATGTTTCTGAATTTATCAGGACTCCAGCTTTCACCAAACACACCCAATTCAGAAAACTGAATGAAACCTACCATTCAAAAAACACTCCGACCTGTACAGCTGGTATTTCTCCCAGGCACACATCTGAGTTTTATCCTTTAAAACCTCAGCTGCAGAACCAAATCCTGCTTCCCCTACTCATGCAATCAATCAATATAAGAAGGATTTATCATAGATACCATACCTGAACCTTTAGTAAAAACCAAGAAGTAGGATGTGTTAATCTAAAAATATTTATTGCTTTGCCAGTTCAATCCATGTAGGTAATTAAATTCAAACTTGACCATCAGTCTTACCATAAAAACCAAAGTGGTCTGCATGTAAAAACCCAGACCCTTCGATCCCTGACCCTAATATCCTGCTAGATTACTGATCAATAAGCAGAATTCTATGTTAAAATGTCATTCCATGAACCGAGGGCAGATCTGAGAATGTCTAGACTGTGGTTTTGAAAGGAAACTAAGCCTAAAGAAGAATGAAAAAAAAGCTATGAATGTAGCTATCAACATAAAGTTACTCGAAAACCATCTCATTTTTGACATTCCGTTCTTACCATATGCAGACCGAGCTCTATGTATATATATATATAAAATACTTGGAGTGATATTGATAATTGAAGTCCAGAAGTATGGTAGCTTTAAGCTGATGAAGAGTGGCCAAAAGGAATGAAGCCTGACATGGCTGCGAAGAGACAGGAGGACAGAAGAGACAGAGAGAAGCTCCACGAGCATCAGCGTATGGAGGAAACCAGCACTAGAGGAGCAAGAGAGTTGCCAAAGTTGTTCAGAAAAAAATGCTGTTCTGAAAAATGATATACAAATAATCATAATTAAAAAAGAAGCAACTGTTAAGGGGAGACAGTTTCAGTGACAAGACTGTACCTACACAACTCCCTGGAGGGGTTCAAGACCAGGCTGGATAAGTTATGGCTGGAACTGGGTGAGTAAAGACCTGATTAAGAGTATATGAGAGACAGGATAATTTCTTTTATATGTGTTGTTTGACTTATTTTGTCATGGTAAGTCTCTGTTACTGTCTGGCATCCAGAGAAACACCTGGCTGTTTTTACTTGGGAGCATCCTTCAATTCTAAGTAAATCAGTATGAACAGCTTAGTTTTAAAGTTGAAGTTATTCCTATATGTGTTGTTTGACTTCTTTTGTCATGGTAAGTCTCTGTTACTGTCCGGCATCCAGAGAAAAACCTGGCTGTTTTTACTTTGGAGCATCCTTCAATTCTAAGTAAATCAGTAAGATGTGGCAGAGATGAGACTATTTTTCCAGGTTAAATGTATTTATAACGGCAAGAATAACAGGAGAGAACTCAGGTGCCAGCAATACTGAAAACTCAACAGTTAAATATTACATACCTTACGAACATGAAACTTAAATATACAATGAATATTTGCAGGAGTTCACTGACTCAGAAGCGAAGAGAAAAGCAGGCAGTGGATGTCCTTAAGAGGCAGTTTTGAGAAGAAACTGGGGAGATACCACATGAAACAGGATTACCTTGCTTCCCTGTATGCTGTCGCCAGGGAGACCGGGTGGACCAGGCAAGCCTTTCTGTCCCATAGCACCCTGTACCAGGCAGTGGGGCAAAAAAAAAGAAGAATTAGGAGGTAAACTCTATTTCTGGTAACAAGCTATCATATAAAGATAGTTTCTGTTGGTTTCTACGTGGGAAAAACTGGGGAAAATATCAAACCATCTTTACACGATAGCTTCGTGCAATCACGCCACAACAGGGCAACCAACAGTGAAGGCACAAAGGACCAGAGCAATAAAACCCTTTGATTACATCAATTTAAAGGTTTTATTTTCCTTTTTTTTCTTTATATTTAGTTGAAAAAAAAGCTCTTGAAATTTGACCAAGCTTCATAAGAGTTTTTGTAGAGTTCAGGTTGGATTTCAGTTTACTGCCTTATAATAAATAATCACCATGCTCCAATAACAGTAAATGGAATTCATTCAGTGCTATGTAAATTACCTACATTTTGCATATGTAGAGTATTTCGTCAGAAGTATATCAAAACCTTATTATCATTAAACAGAAATATATAACTTTAAAAATTTAACTCCTACATATTAGTAATGTTAGAAAAGTCATCATTCTCAGCCGTGTAGACAAACATTTGCCACAAACTTTGACAGAATCTCCTGTGAAAAACACACAATTGAATCTATTCATTTAATCTATATATTTATAAGCAGGGATTCACACAAAACATTGTGCTAAATACCTTATCTCAAGAATTCTCCTCATTGCCTTTGTAAAAATACTTGACGGGTACATCTATAATGAAGAAATCCAGGCATGTGTTGAATTTCTTTTCTCAGCAGGAAGTCTTTTTTGAATTATAAATCACTTCAGTGGAGGGAGGATAAAACCACTCCGATGTCACATGCTGGCTGCTTATATAATTAACTTCTTGTTTTCCTATTTCTTTCCTAATGGTTTTACTAACAGAATTGATTGGATTCAATTTCGTTGAGCAAAACTTGCAAACATAAAATTCACATGTAACGTACTTTCCACCCCAAAAGAAGCTCTTGGAAAGAGAATAGATGCAAACAGAAGAAACGCATCATTTAACTAATTTATCTGACAGTTCTGTTTGATTTCCAGCTGTAACCTCAGCAAGTTTAGATGCAAATGTGATTTTCATCCTAATTTTTCCTTCCTAATCCAGTTGGTAGAAGCGTATGGTCAGTGCCCATGTTTTTACGCTTGATTTCTCCTGCAGTTGCACCAATGTAAAGGGTGGAGGAAGGTATTTTGGTGTCTGAGGGACCAGGGTCTGGCAGTCACAGCCTCACAAAAGAGCACCAAAGCTTTGACACAGCATCGTACCAACCTTGGGACCAACTGTCCCGCTGCCCCGTGGCCCCGGTGGCCCAGGATACCCTCTCATCCCACGGTCCCCCTGGAAACAGTCACAGAAATGTCAGTAATTTATCACCTATTCACTGTTACATCTTTCATCCACTTATGAAACAGCCCCCAACTACTCAGTTTAAAAAACAAACCAAACAAATGTCATATACATAAACAGCTGCTTTATCAATAGACATTAAAAAAAGCCCCAAATGCAGGCATCCACCTTATTTAAGCTCTAGGTGAAGAATATATTCCCCAAGCAATGGTCCACGAGATCAAAATCACCAACAGAGTCAGGACTCTAATTTGCAAACCGATCAGCTACAGAAGAAAAAAGAAAGCAAACTGATTTGGAACCCATCCCTGGAGGGGTTCAAGGCCAGGTTGGAGGGGGCTTGGAGCAACCTGGTGTGGTGGGAGGTGTCCCTGCCCAGGGCAGGGGGTGGCACTGGATGATCTTTAAGGTCCCTTCCAACCCAAACCATTCTGTGACTCTGTGAAAAAGGAAAGCAAATTGATTTGGAAATAACACCATTTCTCCATCGGGTTCAGCAGGGGCTTGCCAGGCTGGGCAGGGAGCTCAGAGCGGGACACAAGGGTGATCCCACCCTTTGCTGACACCCTGCTTGGTCTGAAACTCAGAGACATTGAATTTCCAGAACTGTCAAACAAATGCATTTCTGAAAATTAAAAGAATTTTAACAGCATTGACATAGAAGAACAAAAAGAACAGCCCTCACTTTGTTTTCTTAAAAAGCCTTAATGCATATATATATTTAGCTTTATCTCTCAAGGAAATGATGTTTAAGTGATAACTCTGCCACATTTCTGCTTGTCTGTGTTATCCCCCTTTCTTCTCCTGGTATATTTTGAGCTCATTTCAGCCAAATTAATTGGGAATGTAGAGCACATTCATTTTTGACAGTTTTGGTGACAACTGGAGGCTGTGTAAAGCATCAATTTATGCTTTTAGTGGGGCAGAGGGGCAGCAAGGCAGGGAATGGGGGTAACGCTGTGCCCGGTGCTGCTCCTCGTGCCCAGCCAAGGAGATGGGGGTCAGGGGACATTACTGGCCGGGGGAAGGCACAGAGACCCAAGGGGCAGCTTTGTTTCCCTCAGTCCACAATCGTACAAATGAAATGCACAATCACTAGAAAACTCCCATCAGTTTGAAAAGAAAAATCCATAGCTGAGAAGCTATAAATACAGAAAATTCTGAACAGGGTTCAGCGAATGTCCCTAAACCTATGCCTGGGCAAGTTGCAAGAGAAATAAATGTTCTGATAAGCTAGTCATCATCCAATACATTAACAGCACAGCCAAGAAGTAATTGTGTTTCTTGACAAAATATAAAAAAAAAAATAATAATGATAAAACCTCTTGGTTGTCCTTGGTTTTGCACTCAGAAGAGCTGTAGAAACAGCTGTGCCTGCAGAGGGAGCATTGGAACCAGGAGAAAGGTCTAAGTATCAACCACACAAACCACAGATGACACTGGATTGTGGCAGGTGAGGAGAAACAACACCTCCAACCGATTGAAAAAAAGTATGGAATCTTTTACTGACTTCCTTTACTTTCCTGGAGGAATGTGGGCGGTCATTATAACAACTGCTTTTAGGTGAAACGCCCAAGGTTCAATCTGTAATGAGAGATCACTCCAACCTGTGGCTTTTATAGATGCTTATGATGGTCTCACGCTAAGTGCCAACATATGTGCTATTTATGTCAATATATTAGGGCCCAAACTCAGGTTTGATGGATTTGGAGCTGTGGAAACTCTGAATCCAAAGGCTGAGGCTTAAATTGAGCTTATAATGCTTTCCTTCTTGATGTAACATTTGGCTTGTGAATTTATTTTCAATTCCACAGCACTGGAGGCAGTTTGGGTCAGGACACAGACACGGTACACGGATGCTCACAGCTTTAAATTGGTGCGTCCAGCTGATTGGGTTAAACTGATTGCCATGTTCAGTCAGGAGGAAATATCTTCCTCAGATTTGATCAGAAAAGGGAATTTGTTGTTTTCATCTAGTCTGGTTTGGAAAAGGGAACTGAAGAGAGAGCTACTCTCTTCACCAGTGTTCTTCTGGAGATGACCCAAGGCATCTTGAGATGACCTTGAGATGATCACACCTTGCCTGCTAATGCAAAGAGCCAACTGCCCTTGAACTTAACCTTCTCTTCCTTTTCTCTTCTTTTCTTTTCCACATTCTAGCTATAAACTCTTAAATATTACAATCTTAAGTAGTTAAAGATTGTAGCACTGAAGTCTGGTACGTGGTGCTGGGAAACACCCCTCTGCAGTGGGAAAAATGGCAGAAATTCCTGACCTTTTAAAACGCCTGGTTTCTCAATTCCTCCTGCAATGCATTTTCTTACAATTAGCTTGAGATTGTCATCTTACAGGAAATACTGAGTCTAGGCAAACGTAGTCATCTTCCTATTTAGTCCCACCTATTATCAAAGGAATAATTACTGGCCCTCAGTGTCCTCACAAACCATAACATGACCTTAAGCTGTTTGCAGGAGAACTCTTCACGAGCAGAAGTTGTGCAGACAAAGCTGTCCCTGCCCAAGCCTCCCCCTGAAACCCACCAGAGGTGCCGGAGCTCAGAGGTGGATATACAGACAAAACTTTGCATTATAAGGGGTTTTTTTGAGGAGATCCTGGGCTGCTGTGGCCTGTGAAACAGCCCACGAGTTGCCATTATGGAAGATGAATGAGAGGTTGCCAAACAAGTAAACGATTCCTTATGGTCCAATATCCAACAGACCAAGAACCTGCTCTTGGCCCAGCCCTGTCCAAAAGGAGTGTGAGGGTGACCTGAAGTCATCTGCCTCTTCCTCCCACGGGGAACACATTCTTACACAGGGTCGTTGCAGGTGAAGGATCGAATTTTGGCCTCACATGCTTAGTTAATACCAGATGTCTCCCTGAAAAGCTCTTTTGTAGAGCTTTATAGTAATCCTCAAAGTTTCTGTATTTCTTGGCTTAGAGAAAAAGACTTTTTTTTTTTTTTTTCTGCTTTATGAGTTGCAAAGTGGAGCAGTTCTTTTTTTCTGAGGTGTGAGACTAAACTGTCCTCCAGGGAATTCACTTCAAGAAGGATTAGCACTGTTCTTTGATGAAGCCTAATTTATTTCCTGTACTGCACTCGTAGACAAGCTCGTCACCATCAGCAAAACAGCGAACTAGAAAAACACCACCGAGGCGAGAAATAAAGAGCTGAGTCAAGACAGTGTAAAGTCTGGCATTCCAACGTCTATTCCATACCATTTCCTCAAGAAAACTCATTAAATGACCTAATGGTCACCTGAAAAATAAATCTTGGCTTCCAAATATATACAGATAATTTATGAAGCATGTATATTTGATGCTGAAACATACAGCAGACGCTGCAATACTCTCTTCTGTGAGCGCCAGTCGATAGAGCAGTACTTGGAAGAAGAACATATTTTTTTTAAAAAAGACATTGCATCTCTACTTTCCACATTTTAGTTCAAACAGACAGGGCCCAAGCTGCCAAAGTTATTTATATTGCAACTGGATCCAGCCCAAATGTTCATGCACGAGGGACCACGCTCGGGGTTTTAAATAATCCTCCTGCTCTCCCCCTTACTTGCTTTATTTCTTGCTCTTCAATGTCCGTAGCCCACCTCCTAGTTGGCAACAGGGCTTGTAAATCATATATTTTTTTTTTTTTTATTATATTCTGACTTTACGTGCTTCTGTTTTAATGCTAGGGAAAACAGGGTGCTGTCAGGATTGAATGCATCCCACATGTTCCAGTTCTGTTTTCATGCGAATTTGACCTCTGATACATCAAATTCCTATGGCACAGCCAGCACACATGGGAGCCATTTCTGAAAGGGGGGAGAACAGAGCCCCGATTCAGCTGAGCTGAACATTCCCATATAATGATACTCTAAGGAATTTTCAAATTAACCAGTGTGTAAATTTATGAGTCTCTTTTATCAAATAAACGTTCTTTTCTATACGCAGAGATGGTTGCTGTTCTTCTACTCATTTTTTACGTGGAAGGGATGAGAGGTAGCCAGTGCACTTGCATTTTGCTTGAAAAAAAAAAGCCAACTGTCCATTTTATGGACTAAGTTCTGGGGGAATTCTTGCAACTCAAGTGAATTGTTTTTCCTTGTGGCACCTTTGCTACTGGAAAGTTGTGTAGAGACAAAAGTTTCAAAACTTTGAGTAAGCAAATAAGGGTAAAAAATCAGGGAGGGAGAAGAGATGCTCATAAACTCCATTTCTTTTTTTTCCAGTGTACCCTACACCCTGTCCATGTGAGGATGCAAATAATTAAATCCCAGATATGTCCATCTATCTGGGTAACACATGCTTTGGGGCAGCTGTCACACCCTGCAGAAGCTACAGCTGTTCATCATTTACAGAGGCAATATGTATTTTCCCCTCATAGGACTAACGCATGAATCTAGGTGCATCATAAAAAAAGAAACCTACCTGTTTTAAAGTCAAAAATACAAATTAAATCATCAGATGTTTCTAGCTCTTGATTTTTCTAGTTTTCTGCCAGAGGCTGTGAGATAAGCACTGCTCTGAGCAGCCAGAGCTGATGGGCAGCTTGACACAGCAACACCATCAAACCTGAGGATCCCACAGAACTTTTCACATGCAATTTGGTGTGACGTGATGTGCCCCAGCTGTGTTGTGATCCTTGCAAAGACAGCTCCTCCACAGGGCTCTCTGTAACACAGCTCCTCCTAGAAGTGGTGTAAATGATGTGCCCCAGCTGTGTTGTGATCCTTGCAAAGACAGCTCCTCCACAGGGCTCTCTGTAACACAGCTCCTCCTAGAACAAGATGCCACTTCCCCATAACCCATGGACACAGTGCATTCTGAATCTATCTGGTTATTATGAGTAGAGACCTCCAGAGGGACCACACATCCCGTGCTCTCGCTCCTCGAGCTCCCAAAACTACAGCAGCCCCAACAAACATTGATTTTAAAAAATCCAGTTGTGAGAAATTTCACTGCCATTATTCTAGTGTTTTCGTTTCACTTAAAAGAATAATAAAATCTTTTATTTCCATTTTAGATTTAACTCAAATTTCACACAGAATCACACAGAATCTTCTAGGTTGGAAGGGACCTCAAAGATCATCTTGTCCAACCGTCAACCTGACTGACAAAAATAGACACCCGCACAACAAACAAGGAGCATCATCACTAAACCAGACCTCCCAGCACTACATCAACCCGGCTTTTGAACACCTCCAGGGATGGTGCCTCAACCACCTCCCTGGGCAGCCCATGCCAATGTCTTTCTTTATATTGAGCCCCAATATTCCCACTGAAATTCTGATTTTATATTTCTGGGGTTTGTAACCTTTTAACCGTGGCATCACAGTGGGAGATTATTTTATTTGATTACCTGACATGACCTTACAACTCCTTTTTTTGGGGAAACACTACTTTCCAGAATTATGCGTTTAGGAAGCAAGAGAGAATTCCAGACATAATGATACCCCTAGACATTCTGTAGTCCTAAGCTACATTCTTATCAATATCTGCCTTAAAAATCTCATACAAGATTCTAGGGTTTTAATGAGATGTTTTTCTGCAGTACCACGACAAATCTCTTATAAAACTGTATTATATCAAGTCTGATATCTCTATTTGGCAAAGATACAGTCTCATATAAAAAAAACCCCCACCTAATTAGTTTAGCCACATGTGTTTTCTGTAAGTCTGCACTGAATAACCTAATTGAAATTACTTTTATTTCTTTAGTAGTTCATGTCCTGGGCTGGACCTGACATTACTTTATGTGAAATGTTTTAACTGATAAGCACTAGTTCAGAACAGGAGCATCAAGTCAGGTTTCCCAGATCCCATTGTCAGGCCATTCTGTGGTCATTCTAAGGTCGGGTCATTCTAAGGATCAATGTCCTTCAGTTTTTCCTTTATTGTGGATAGGTTTTTAAGAGATTATTGTTGTTGTTTATTTTAAATGGGAATTCTCATGTTCTGGGAACTGAAGTTGAAAGTTCCTTCTGTTTGGGAAAAAGAATTGTTTGGGCAATATTTATTTTGCTTTCTCCTGCAACAGGCTGCCTGCTTTTTACTTCACATATGTAATGAGGACACCATTAATAAAACCACTCTGCAGGACATCTTACAGCAATTTCTTGTATGACTTTAGTCTTATGTGCATTTTTTCCAATTTTTTTATAATAAAGTAGTTACAATGTGACTTTTTAGATGAATTAAATACTGCTTAGAACTCTGTAACACTTCAGCTATTCTGTGTTTTGTGAAAAAACGTGGAAGTGTTTCAGTGTTGTATTTCTAATTCCTTTATCACTTTTGTTTTGGTTTTATTTTTGCTGCCGAGTTTTGCCTCTACACTAATATTAATTTTAGACGAAGGTTTACAGTCTTCTCTTAGGAATATATTTCTAGGAACTTCAAAAATATCTCACTACAGTTCATGTAACCAACATCCCCCCCCCCCCCCT